CAAAATTACCCTGATACGATTGTGCCTGATTTGTACTGAGAAGAGTAGAATGTAAGCTCCTCTGGCGCACAAAAAGATGTGAATGGTTTAATATTCTCTGCACAGCACTGCAGATTGTCACAGCTTAATAGATGTATGATAATAGTGTGTGACAGTGATCAGATCATTCCCCGATATTTATATTGATTAGACTTCCGAATACCTTAAGACCGTGCACGATGTGGAGATTAAATGAAACCCTCCTACAGGATGTGACTGTTAAAATAGCCATATCTCAAGCTAAATCCGACTTTATATTAGACCATGAGCAAGAAAAAACGGCGCTTCCGATAAAGTGGGAGGCATTGAAATGTGTGCTCCGTGGTGCATTAGTGTCCCATGGCGCACATATTAAAAGAGAGAAGGCACAGTTGATTACCTCTCTCTTGTCTGAGATACACTTATTGGAGAATCAACATAAGAGTACAAGAGATGCGGATGTTTTCCAGTCATTGCAACAGAAAAGGGCTGAGCTCTGGCAGATCCTGGATCTCTCTTACCAACGGCATAAAGACTGCTTGAAGCGTGGGCTGTATGAATCTGGGGCCAAAGGTGGTAGGATGTTGGTGCGATCAATACGAAATAAACAAGCGCAAACGTATATTTCCAAAATCCACTGTCCAGCTAAAGGAATGGTCCACTCCTCGGAAACAAATAGCTGCAGTATTCCAAGAATACTATAAGAGCCTTTATAATTTAAACACTATGTCAGACGCGAGATATAGAGAAGAAGAAGAAACCCCTTTACTGGAGTATATATCTCAGACAGCTTTACCTGTATTAGACCCTTTAATGGTGGAATCGCTGGCGTTACTTTTTTCCCTAGAGTAAATCTTAAACGCAATAAGCTTGATGCCATCGGCTAAGAGCCAGGAACTGACGGATTCACAGGGATCTTTTATAGAGAATTTAGAGAGGAGTTGGTTCCAATATTAGGAACCACTTTTAATGCGTTATCAGAGGGATGTGTTTTTACACAACAGGCCCAAGAAGGGGATATCACTCTTGTACCTAAAGAGGAGAAAGATCCCTCACAGTGTGGGAGCTATAGGCCCATATGTCTGATAAATGTTGATTTGAAGATTTACGTCAAAATATAAGCAAATCATCTTCAGCCATATATAGCATCTCTAATACATTCGGAGCAGGTGGGAGAGAAGCAAGAGAATACAATTAAAATGATCTTGCTTATAGATCACTGTCGCCAACAGTGGCTTTATTTGTGTCTACTGGCGTTGGATGCAGAGAAAGCCTTTGATAGGCTTCAATGGGGATTTATGAAGGCCACATTAGTCCAGATAGGATTGTTTATGCCTTTTATACAGAAAATTTTAGCTCTATATTCATGTCCTACAGCAAGAGTACGGGTAAACTGAAAACTTTCTGACTCATAATAATAATTCATTATTTCAAATGGAACACATCAGGGGTGCTCCCGATTCCCTTTTTTATATGTATTGGCAATGGAGTATTTGGCTAATGCGCTATGAGCAACTGATGATATTAATTGGGTAGATATGGGGGAAAACTCATAAATTAAGTTTATTTGCTGATGATGCACTCTTATATTACTAATCCCAGGGTCGCTATGGACGATTTAGTAATTTTCAAATAAACGTAGCTAAGTCACAGTGTACGGAGGTTCCCCCACCCCAGGGTAAACGCAAGTCCTTAAGCCGTAGTTTTCCATTTCTATGGACAATGCAGGCCTTAAATTATCTGAGTATTCAAATATCAAGAGATCTAAGTAAATGATATATATTAAACTATTTACCTTTATTAGAATCCACTCATCGACGAATGGAGGCCTGGGTTTCTAAGAAACATTCTTGGATGGGTAGGATGGCATCATTTAAAATGGACCTTTTACCAAGATTTCTTTACCTGTTTCAGACTGTTCCGATTGGAGTTCCTCTGCCTTATTTTTGTCAATTGAGGACATATCTTCTGCGCTATATATGGGCTTCTTCGAAATCCAGAATTTCCACAAGGATTACTAAGCCATAGATTCTTAAAATGAAGTATAACAGTACCATCACCAATAATACAAGCGGTTAATGCTCTTGGACTTCTACCATTGACAGAATTGGAACCAGTACAGAATCCAAGTGCAGGAAGGTGGCTTAATTACCTGCAAATGAAACATTTTTATATTCACCTTAGTGTGAGAGGGCAGATATTTAGGGAATTTACGTAATTTGAAAACATTTGTTTAAGTAAAACAAAATACACACATGCTGTATCTAGGATATACCACATTTTAATTACCTTAAAGGAGAACTATGGGGTCAGTGTTTTTCCCCATAGTTCTCCTTAGGGTAACGGGAGGACACAAAATAGCGTCCTCCCGTTACCCTAAGCTCAGTATACCGCGAGCTACAGCTCGCGGTATACTGAGACGCCGCACCTGGAGCGGATCCCGACTTAGATGACGGGATCCGCCCAGCTGCGTGAGTGACAGCTGGCTCTGCCTATCTAGAGGCAGAGCCAGCTGTACCCGCCCCCTCCCCCGTCCGTTCCGCCAGTCAGCGCTGGCAGATCGGAGCGGGGAGAGGGGAATCCAGCCCCTCCCCCTGTCACGGCAGAGAGCCGTGACAGGATCGAGAGGTGAGGGAACCCGGTATGTGTTCCCTCACCTCCCGATCTACTGAGCCGACCTGTGACAGTCTCATTGTCACAGGTCGGCTTAGAACTATGAGGTGAGTGGAAATCACTCATGTCATAGTTCTCCTTTAATATGCCTTCCCTACTAGACCATTCTATACTAGGGAATGAGAATGGGAGTTGGGGTATCAAATATCAGAAGAAGACTGGAATAAATCATTTAATTTGACCTTTAAGTCAAGTCTGTGAAGGTTCTGATTCATCCAGGTCATGGTATATCTGTAAAAAAATTAATCAAGGCAACTGTACTTGCTGTATTTTTTTTATCCGACCCAGCTTTCTCAATTCCGAATAACTTGTACAAAAATTATCTGGGAATAAATATGGTGAATGTTGCTCCAATCCACATAATCTGTTAATCGCAACCAGAAAGATTCACCATATTTATTCCTAGATAATTTTTGTACAAGTGTGAATGTGAATGGGTATATCCGATTTCCGGAATACAGGGGAAAGGGGGTGTTCAAATTTGTACTTATTGATCATACAGTATATGCATGTGTGGTGAACCTGTCTGATAGTCATGACCTTTTGGAATAAACTATATAAGATCATTTCGATCTTAATGGGCAAGTATATATCAGTGACATGCAGTACCTTCTGTGCTGGGTAAGGCATTGCCCTAGCCCCGCCACGAGCATGCCCCACCCCCAGCCGGCCGAACCCCCAACCCTGTCACCAAGCCATATGTGGAGGAGGAAGGGAGAAGACAGGGAGGAGCCTCCCTGCCCCTCACTTGCTCATCACTGGTGAGGCATTTAGATCATGTCCTCCATGTTTTTTTTTTTCTTTTTTTGATTGGACAGCTTGGACCAATGGCGCTTTGCCATTGGTTCAAACCATCCACAGAGCTCACGCCTTTTAACATAGAGTAGAGGCTGTTGCAGCTTTTGCCTCACTATCTTAGGTTACACAAGCAGTTGGGAAAACCCGCTGCTGTGTAACCTAACTTAGCTGTCAAAAGCCGGATGCAGCGCCTCCTGTAATTAAAAGGCAGCGGTCCATCCATGGCAGGTTACACAGCTGGGAGGCTTTCCCTGCTGTGTAGCCTGTTACAAGCCGCTCTGAGTGGAGAAAAAGATGTCAACTTCAGACTTGAAGTTGACAGCTTTTTCCTCCATAATACAAGGTGAGGCTCTCAGCCTCAACTGCATCCCCTGCCCGTACGTCCCTGGTATATATTCACCAACCCAGAAGAAGCTCTTGCTAATGTAAGACCAGCAGGTCTCACTTCTTTACAATTTAAACTAATGTTGCATGTTTTAACAGCCGCCAAATGCATGATAGCGAAAGCCCGGATAACAAACTCCCCATCTATCTCTGAAGTTAAAAATAAAATGTATTGGACACTTTATAATAAAAAACTATCTGCTCGCTTTTACGACTATATGTCCAAATTTGAAAAACTCTGGGAGCCCTGGGTTACCCATTTCCTCCTTCTATCTTTTGACGGTCACCTACTGACCTAATAATGCTGACATCATTTAGACTCCCACTTACTCATCCTGATTGCTTACCCATAAAACCAAATTGACACTCCTTTAAACCCTTAGCTTTTTCCCTTTCTTTTCATTATTCATTCTCTATTTTCCTCATATAGCTATCTCCCTCTTTTCCCTCTGGACCTTTTTCTCTTCTTAATACTACTTTATACTACGATAATTCTCAATAGTGTATATTGTAATGCATACTATAAGGCCAATTATTGCAGCTACTTAATCATTTTGTATTACCAGTGTATTGCATTGTTTATTGCTGCTCTGTACCAAAATTTACAATATCTTGTCCATGTTTCATATTTTTGTACTATTGTTAAAATCTTAATAAAACATTTTTGAAAATAAATTTTTAAAAAATAGTGTGAGACGGTAGTGGGGACATTAGAATGTAAGCTCCCCTGGTGCAGAGAGTGATGCATCAGTGTTCTACATACAGCGCTGTGGAGATATATAACAGTTTTACTGTGTGGCTGTGGTGGGGACATTAGAATGTAAGCTCTTCTGGTGAAGAGACTGATGTGACAGTGTTCTACGTACAGCACTGTGGAGATATATAATAGTTTTTCTGTGTGGCTGTGGTGTGGACATTAGAATGTAAGCTCTTCTGGTGAAGAGACTGATGTGACAGTGTTCTACATACAGCACAGTGGAGATATATAACAGTTTTACTGTGTGGCTGTGGTGGGGACATTTGAATGTAAGCTCTTCTGGTGAAGAGACTGATGTCAATTATTCTATATTCTAACACGTGTAGGTACACAGCTCAGAGTTCTGACAGTCCATTTCTATGTTTTCCAGGGTACAAGTGGAATTCTATGTCAATGAGAATACCTTCAAAGAGAGACTGAAACTCTTCTTCATCAAAAACCAAAGATCAAGTGAGTATCTCTTTCCTTGTTATACCAAGAACAAATACATATCTGTTATAAAAGGGATGCAATAGCTGTGCTCTCATTACAAAACAAATAAAATACTGATAGAATTCTAAGTTTTTTATTTACAAAATAGACAAAGGCCATATCGTCTGTCAGCACTCACTTCCTGTCTTGGTGGCACCACTTCCTAGGCAGGAAGTGAGAGGAAATCACCTTAGTGGACACTCGCACAGCACTATAAAACCTGACTGAACCAGGGGTAGGCTATCTCAGCACTCCAGCTCTAACAAAACTACCAATCTCATCATGTCTCTGGGAGCCATGCCTGTGGCTGTCAAAGTCTTTCAATGCCTCATGGGACTTGTAGTTTCACAACGGCCGCAATGCTGAGGTTGCCTACCCATGTCCTAAACTTTCCCCACTCTGTCCAAAACAAAAATAAGTTTTAGTTTAGAGTTCCATATTAACAAGACCTTCCAGAAGCTCTCCTCCAAGGAAATTAAAATAAAAAAGTAATAGTTGTCTGATTTCTCTGAGGTCCATGTAAGGAAAGCAGCCAAGAGTTCTATTCATTAGATATAAAAACAAAGTATTCCTGTGGTATCTCCCCATCCCAATTAGGCTGCCAGTAGACACAGGGGCTAGTTTCAAGGCTCCGTCCACCCATACACAAAGCAATCCTCTGAAGGAAATCCTGCACATGGCACAGGTTCTCTGAAAAATGAATTGATTTTGTCCTGGGCCAGTCATCAGACTCTAGCATATGGGTGTGCAGATATTCAATTATTTAGCTATTCAATTCGAATAGGTGCGACTGCTGTCAGCCTGTCATTGTTTTGTACAAGCTGAGCAGCCAACCTCCTGTAATTCCAGCCACAGGAATCCACATATACTTGCCGCTAACCCATGTGAATGTGGCCCTTAGCATAACTGCTTTGTCTTTCTGGGCTATTTATCTAATAATCAATGTATTTTTTAGAGAACATATGCCAGCTGCAGGTTTTTCTTTAGAGGATTGATCCAAAGCAATCTAGAGAGAAGTAATAAGACTAAGCAATAAAAGAAAATCACAACTCTTCACTCTAATTTAGGCGTTCATCTGGTGTACAAACATAGAAACAGGGACACCGGCACTCCAGTTGCGATGCAATAAAACGTCTATTTATTGACGTGATGCAGCATATCATAAATGCACCCATCTTTTCTTCTTTTGGAGTAAGCGGTCAGGAGTGTGATGGGCTCATGGACTCTCATCTGGTGTACAAGCCACAGTGGAAATATTCTATATAAAGCTGTAAAATTAACCCGTAAAAAAATATGTTTTAGCCATATCTCAGTGAATAGCCGCATGAAGTTATTTTTAAGGCTCACGCTATTATATATATATATATTTATTAAATTATACCTTTTTTATATACATGTGGAAAGGCATATTTGCTGGGTATACATTTACAGGTTCTGCTTTCTGTTTAGTAATGCGTCAAAAATTGTGCCCTAATGATCCTCTTATCTATGCAAATTTATGCAAGCTGGAGCAGTCATAGGTAGGACATAGTCCAGTTCTTAAAGGTTTTATGGGATTTAAATGCCACATGCGGTCTGTGTGTAAAGTACAGAGTGAATTTGTAGCTGCCTGCTGCCATCTATTGGTCAGTTTTGGTTTAGCAGGGTGGCTGCAATGTTTGACCTTAGTATTGCAAGCTGTGCACTCTCTGAAGGCAGCCTAATAATAAATGTGCATGTATCAGAGCTTTTACTAAACAAGGGCAGCTGTGAACAACACATTTTCCATGGCACTCATTTTTAAAGGGTCATTCCACCCAAAAAATATATTTCAGCAGTTTCAAACTTCTCTAGGGGACTCCGGCAGGGAGATATTTGTACTTCTGTCCATGGGGCAGCACATTACAAAGGGCTCCCACTTTCCATGTTTGATTTGTTAATGTACTTTATGGAGGAAGAAAGGAAAGGGAGGAGTGGGAATTCCCTAAAGTGGGCTGGAACACCCAAAACAGCCATTTTTCTTGTGTACACAGACAAGGTTGTGACTGCTTTGGGTGTTGTGCAAACATGAATAACCATAAACTGTTCAGTCAAGTATTTGTGGGTTACATTTCTATAATTATCAACAGCCTGTTGATTTGCAAAGGCTTTAGCAATGTCCATGTAGTGAGCTCATTAGCCATTCTCCTTCATGTGCAGAAAATTTAATTTTGTGTGTGAACAAGGAATTAAACAATTCCACTTTGATGATACAGTGATTTGTTTCCCGCTCTGTTCCTGAGTAATGGAAGAGCAACAGAAGGGGGATTTTCCATTTTTAAGAATGCCAGTTCCTTGATTTGAATACTAGCTGTTCTCCCAAAGCTTAGGAAGGAGGTAAAATAATGTTGTATGTCATGATTTAAGCAGTCATATATTTAAAGAATAATATCCTGCATTAATTGGATCACATCAGTGAATATTTAACCCTCATCCATCTAAATTTCTCTCTGATCCATACAACCACATTTCTGTTTGGAGCAGGTTATCCATTTACAAAATGATAAGCTGGAGGATTTGTATTGGCTATGTCCTTAAAGTACACTGTATGGCTAAAAGTATGTAAACACCCTCTAAATAAATGAGCTCAGATGTTGCCAGTAAAGGTACTGTAAGTGATTCTGCATAGAAATACATGACTGCTGAGAACTATAGTTAGCACAAACCATATAACCATAACCATATAACTTGATACATTTTCTTCCCTTGCCCAATTTTGAGCTAGGACTTCTTGTCTGAGTACCAAGTACCACAAATGCTGTTTTGTCTAAATGGACCTAAATTTCCAACAGACACACTCCAAAATCTTGTGGACAGGGGGGAGCAAACTCAAAATTAGGGCTCGTTTACACTTGGTGCATTGAGCTACATTAATCTGTGCTGATCAACGCAGGCAAAGACACTGTGAAAACAACTGTCCTCTATATGCCCTGTTCATACCATACGAGTGCGTTGGTATGTGTTGCATAAACATACAGCATGACTACATTTTATATGCAACACACAAAAATGCGTTACACCTATTGTGTATATAGTTAAATGTTATTTTTTTATTTTTTTTTGTAACTACATGAAGTTAAAAAAAATAATCACTGCAGTGCATTGTTACAACGCTTCAAATGCACAAATCAAGTGCACATCACACATCAACGTACACACATTATGTGAACCTTAAGACACAATTGCTGGTGTGAATGTACCCTTAATGTCCATAATGTGTGATAGGATGTTCAAAAAGCTTGTATAGATGTAATGGTGAAGTGTCCTCAATTGTTTGGCCATATAGTGTAGGCCTAGACCCTAACTGGATAATATTTACAGTAGTTTGCTGAAGTGCTGTGTACCAGCACATTATCCATATTATACGGTTTTCACCTTTTTATATACTGTTTTCCATCTCTTCCAGCCCCTTATAGGCACTTATAGGTCATACACTCACTCCTGCATCATTGCTCTGGACCAGTGGCCAGGGTCCCTTGAAGTCTCCACCAAGAGTGCATGTGACAGGGTGACATTTGCAGAGCACAATTAGAGAAAGTTGTTACTTCATAGCAGGAAGTGCCTGAACAAAGACTCTTATGGCAGGTTCGCCAAGTATTTTAATGAAAGCTGCAGATTTTATAATATTGTAAACATTTGATTGATATGTTAATGCATATATGAGATTTTAGTAATTTAGTTTAGATATACTTTAAGATCACAGCTTTCAGTTTGTGCAAACATAAATGTATAAAAACGTTTTAAACTCTTCCCTTATTTCCTGTTCTAGAAAACCTCACATTTCTCCTTATGTCTTTATATTTCCCTTTTACAATGCTGGCTTATGAAGCCATATGGTAAACACCTCTTCATTAACTAGAGCCATGCCACAAATAGATTTATTGTTTGTTTTTTGGTCTTTTCACATAATACATCTTTTCACTTACTGTCTTCCCTAACCTTCAGTTCAAGGTAATCATGTATCTCACAGCTGAATTACGCGATGCTCTGAAAGGCTATAATAGTGTAGAGGCAGTGGCGCCGGGGTCGCTTTATTGTCCTCGCTTCTGTTTTCTGCGTGGTTAAAAGATTAAAACCTTCACAAGAGAGAAAGGAACAAAATTGTCCTGACCTAGTTAACAACAAAGAAAGTGGTCAGAGAACGTCAGAATTCAACGCCTGGGGTCACTGCTGGGAATATTGTACAAACTCTTTTGGCTGGTTTGTTTAAATTATTGAAACATTTGATGATTTAAGAGTGCTGGGTCCTTAAAGATGCACATGAGACAAAAAGGAAGAGTTAGAATTCACAGGGATTCTCCAGAAAATAATTCAGTTTCTTCTACCGCGGAGAAGGGCTCTTCTGTCCGTTTACAGCCATAAGCCCATTCACTTTTCAAGTGTTTTTTGTTAGAATCTACTAGCAATTAGGTGACGCAGGATAGATAGAGCTGAATAGGTATCTACGAGCAGTCTCTCTTGGCACACATGAACTCATATAAGAGCTCAGGCCTTCAATAGCTCTTTGATAGAAGGTAATTAGCGAAGTCTTGCTGAATAGAATCACTTGGTGAGTAAATTAAAATACTTTTATTCTTCCTTGGAGAAGCTTTAAAATCATTTCTGTGTCTCTTTTGGGAAGATTCGCCTTCACTTCCTGTCTCGTCGACAATTTTTATCTGCTAACAAAAGAAAAAACCATGCGGCTTTTAAGGTGTCACAGCCGGATAGTGAAGGCGAATCTTCCCAAAAGAGACACAGAAATCATTTTAAAGCTTCTCCAAGGAAGAATAAAAGTATTTTAATATAGGGGGTGTGGTGTCCTAATTTTCTTTAGTGGTTCAACCAATTTTGTTTTCAATGTTTATCTACTAGACAGCATATCTTCAACAGGGACACAGACAGCAATGTGAGACCTTACAAAGCATTGTGACTATCCCTTACTCTAACAAAGCATACATATTTGGCTGTAGCTTTACTTTATAACTTTAAGTAATCAGAATGGAAAATAAAAAAACAATGTTAATAAATATTTAGGGTTTTCATTCTCTTATAAAAAAAAGCTGTATTAGAACTTTGGGATGACTCCTAAAGACTAAGGCTACACTGGCTAGTAAAGTGGCCCTGGCAAGCTTTTAGAAAACCCTAAATCCAAGTTTCTGAATACAAATGGTAGTATACGATTCTCTCCAGTGGCCCATGTCTCTCTACCTTCTCTCTGTTTGCGGCACTGCAGCCTTCGTATGACTATTGGGCATTCCGGAGTGTCGAATGCCTGTGTTTGTGCTGTGTTACTGCTGTGTCCTGTAGTAAATTAGGCAATAAAGGAACGAAAAACACAGCGTGGCCCAGGGAAGGGGGGTTTGTTGTATGCCAAATAGTCTTCCAAAGGCTGCAGTGCTGGATTAGAGAGAAGTGAGGAGACATAGGCCACCAGAGTATACAGCAGTGTTTCGGAGGCTGCTGGAACAGAGATTAAGTAGGAGACTGAAGCCATCAGAGAGGTTATTATAATGCTTCTATTGCAGGAACCTGGAACTACGATTTTTTTCTTTCTTTTTGACAGGGTCACTTTAATTCTTTTTGCTCCTCAGAGATTTAACTGCCTATTAACAAGTATCCCTCCCTTTACCATTGTATTGATTGTAGTGTGCTGCAAATGGAATGACTGCCAACAAGTGGTTAAATCTCTCGGCTGCATAGAGACTCAATCGCCCATGTAGCCCTGGGTTAATTTGGCAGCAGGAAGAGTGCACTTATAAATATTTTGTTATTGTCAACGCTGGTGAATACCATTTACTGCTATTACAATATGATTGTTGCATGCAGAGTATGACATGTCATATCAGCCAGTGGTGGTGAAAAGAACATTATAGCACAGTAGTTATTTTCCTACCAGCTATATACACATTATTGTATTTAATGTCATTGCTGTCCAGACATCACGTACCCAGCATCCTGAACTAAATCTACATTTATCCTTAATTGTTTCTGAAAAATGTTGCTGCCAGCATCAGTCAATATGATATCATTCATCTGGACTGTGATCACAACAATTGTTTTCTGCAAGGACAAATAATAATTCAGGCAGACAAGCGCCTGAGCTCTGTCCACACATTGGCTTTACCCGCTTCTTCCCTAATGCTGATGCTGCATGTATACACCAGTGCCAGTCTATGTGAATGTTCATTCAGCATATTTCTCTGTAGCTGTCACATGTCATGTTATAGTGACTCTCATTCTGTATTCTCTTCTAGGCCTTAGAATCCGTCTTTTCAATTTTTCCCTCAAACTTCTGTCCTGTCTTCTGTACATCGTAAGAGTATTACTGGATGACCCAACGCATGGGATTGGCTGGTAAGTCGCTGGGTCACCGCTCTCCAAATCTAAACTGCTGCTCTCCTCTCCAGATATAAATTATCCTTCACAGGAAGGACATCACTGCTCTCCAGATAAAATATCACAGGAGTGATGTCACTGCTCTCCAGATATAGATCAAATTTTACAGGAGTGATGTCACTACTCTCCAGATATACATAATATTTCACAGGAGTGATGTCACTGCTCTCCAGACATAGATCAAGTTTTACAGGAGTGATGTCCCTGCTCTCCAGATATACATAATATTTCACAGGAGTGATGTCACTGCTCTCCAGATATAAATAATATTTCACAGGAGTGATGTCACTGTTCTCCAGCTATAAATAATATTTTAGAGGTGTGATGTCACTGCTCTCCAGATATAAATAATGTTTCACAGGAGTGATGTCACTGCTCTCCAGATATAAATAATGTTTCACAGGAGTGATGTCACTGCTCTCCAGATATAAATAATGTTTCACAGGAGTGATGTCATTGCTCTCCAGATATAGATACTATTTTACAAAAGTGACATTACTGCTATTGGGACATTCCTGCTTCCCCCCTGCCTTGTCTTCTCTAAAAGAGGAAATCAGTGGACTCCAAATAAAACGTAAAGGAGAACTCTAACCAAACAACTAAATACTACAATGTTGGCAGTTGAAATACATATTTGTGATCCATATTTGTGTTACCTGCACAAATATTGAATTCTGTTCATCCAATGCTTCGCATTCCCCACCACACTGTATAGCAGCAAGGTGACCCCACCATCTACTGTGGTGACAGAGGGAGAAAGAGCATCAAGGCTCCTCCTAAGCACCCCTCCCCAAAGGCTGCCTAAATCCTTTTCACTCTAGCTCCCAGTGTTTGAAACATGTCAGTTTGTCAACACTGTAGTATGCATTAAAGCATGACTGGCTCACAGTGCAGATCCTCCCACTGTAAGTGTGATCTGTGGCTTTGGTCCTGGAATAACAATAATAAAGATAGACCTGATTAGATATAGTAGCAATAATTCAGATACATTTGATTCTTTTTAAAGAACATCTCACAGGACTACTGGGTCCAGGTTTTTTTTTTTTATTCTTACAGATCTTTTAAATATTTCAGAGTTGATGTCACTTAAAAAATGTTCTTTACAAGATATATGGTATACAGTTACATCATTTGCATTATTTATTCTAATCCTCCTATATCCCCAATTACCTAGATATTATGTGGATTTAAACTGTGTATGTGTGTGAATATCTGATTTCTTATAAACCCTCCCTGGGTGGCAGACATAATTGGCAGCCAGAATAGAACAGAACTTTGTATGGAATAAATTAGTATTAATGATTTTTCAAGAGAATCTTTGACATGTAAATAAAAGGAATATTAACATGAATACATGTAGGCGTTCGAGCAATATCTTGTGTTTGACGTGTCCTTTTGTGTCTGTTTTCCACTCGTCCATATTACTTCAGAAGAGGAGGGTTAAGCTGGCTAGTTTCTGGTGAAGGAAAAAAAATCTCTCAATTTCAAACAGCATGGATTGAGGAATCTGCACCACCAACTATTGTGTTCTGACAGCCAGCACCCACGGATGTCAGAATTGCAAAACAGTGACTGCAGTTAATTGGTGCCGGTAGGGCCACCCACAAATTGAGGCAATTCAGCAGGAAACATTGAAATTTGCCTTAAATAGAGGAAGGAGCTGATTCCCCCGACATTGCTATGTGCTACAGGAGGAAAGCATTAAGCCTAGCATTTTGTTTGAACAATAATAGCGTTTTTTGATTTTCTGATAATTAATGGGTCAAATTGACAATCAATTTCAAATGTAGTGGTGGGAAAAAAAATGAAGGAGCGGCATGGAAAATTTTTCTTGAATGAACCAAATTATAACCGTGAATGTGTTTTTTGTTCGAAAAACTTCCAAAATTGAATGATAAAATCAAATGAAATTTCGAACTCATTCTACAAGTCTCTGATGGAATTATTGACTGTACTGATGAGATTGTTTGTAAGAAAATCTGTACGAAATTCTAACTGGCTTTAGGTAATGGAATGAGCAGAGACCTGCAGCAGTTCTGCCAGGGATCCTTTGATTCCATCATGTCTTCATTCTGCATGTTCTACATAATAGTAAGTCTTACATCGGTGCAGGAAAGCTGCTGGGTGCAATAAAGGGGATCAGTAATGAAGAAGATACGGAGTAAGGTTTATATTGAAGCATACAACTGTATTCAAGAGGTGAGAGTTAGCAGAATGTACAAAAAGGAGAACATTTTCATCTTCCTCTTTATGTTTAATTCACATTTTTCCCCCATTTTTTACAGTTGGAATTGTGTCAAGCAGAATTATACAACCAAAGGATATCCAAATGGTATCAACTGGTGAGTGCAAAGTAGGATTCACAGACACGTGGGGTGTTGCTCAGAATTGTGTGATATTTCAAACAATGAAAGGGAACCTGCCATGATTTCTATAGGGTGGTGGCCATATATGACTTGGTTTTGAAAGTAAAATCTAAAGGTCAGTCATTTTTTTGCTGGGTCCAACATTTTTAAGCTAAACATTGACTGTAGCCATTTAACCTGTAGCCATGTATTTTCATGTATTTTGTATACATGTATTGTTCATGTATTTTGACAGCGGTGGCCACCCAGTCATCTCCCACGATGCCTTGTGCCACATGTCACATGCAGCTGGGCTCCAGGCTGTTGGAGATGGTGCCAAAGTAGAGGGGTGGACGGGACATTAGGGTGGAGGGGTAGAGCTGTAAGGGAGTAGTGAAAAAAACAGTGTATAGTGCTTCTGAACATGGTGCTCAGAAGCACTATAATACAATGACTACTACTATGACTACAATGGGAGATATCAGGAAGGCAGAATTAAATGTGGACACAGGTATTCAGGAAATGTATGTGAATGTGGTTCTCATAGTCTATTCAAAAGTATATATGGCTAAAGAGACATAGAAATTGAAAGATACAGGGTGAGATATGTTAAAATATCATGCTGGACAAAAATGAAATTTTTGGTTTATTGCTTTAAAGGAGAACTATGGGGTCAGTGTTGTTCCCCATAGTTCTCCTCAGGGTCACGTTAGGACATAAACTAGCGTCCTCCAGTGACCCAAAGCTCAGTATACTGCGAACTACAGCTTGCAGACCGCCGCAGCCAGGACGGATCTGGACATTACTGTCGAGATCCACTCAGCTGCGTGATTGACAGCTGGCTCTGCCTATCTAGAGGCAGAGCCAGCTGTACCCGCCCCCTCCCCTGTCCGTTCCGCCAGTCAGCGCTGGAGGATCGGAGCGGGGAGGGGGGAATCCCTGCAAGGAGCCGTGAGTGACAGTCACGGCTCTCTGCAGGGGCAGGATCGAGAAGTGAGCGAGCGACGGTATGTGTTTGCTCACTTCCCGATCTATTGAGCCAACGTGTGACAGTTTCATTGTCATACGTCGGCTCGAACTATAAGGTTGAGTGAAAATCACTCACCTCATAGTTCTCCTTTAAGTCACTAAATTGTGTGAGAAGCATGCAGCAAGTGAAATGTCAGGATACATGCTAGGCTCATACCTGTTTCCAGTCAGCCACTAAACATAAAGAAGAAAGGATTAGAAGGTCAGCCCCAGAAAGACTTTTATCAGGAGAGTTTTCCTTTCATCTTTCCCTGTTCCTGGCCCTTGACCTATGCTTTTATCTTTTATGTACAATGTCTCATATTTTCCAACAGGGATCCAATCATATGGGTGGACCGCCAAACACCACTATGGGCCATCCAAGTAAGTGGGGTCCATTCTATTGCTATATAAGTACAGTAAAGGGAAATGTGACAACTGTTCTGTGGTGTGTTGCAAGTTTGATTGAAATTGTTGTACTCTATAAACATGGAGAATAAGATGCATCTAAACCAATTTTTGCATCCTGGATGGAGTAGGGAAGGCTGTAATCCCTGTCACAATTTTATTGCTGGGGAGATTTGCCCTCTACATTATCACAAGAACAAATGGTGGTGGCAAATCCCAAATTCTAACATTGTCACTGTAACAGGACTAATGACGAAATCTTCCAGGGGGGACCCCTGTTCTACAAGCAGAGATTTCCCTTTACTCTTGAATGGTTTTTATCTCATTTCCTTTGTGTCTACAGGGCAAGAAATAAAATAATATAGGATCAAAAGGATATAGACCGCAAAAAATGTTTTGGGTTTAGTTCTGACTAAAATCAATCAACTGCTGAACTTCACTGGCCAGCTAGTATTTGGGGGGGAATTGATGAAAACGAGCAGTTTTCTTGTGACAACCACTCAGCTTCTCTCTCCAGTTTGTTCAGTTAAGCTTTGCAAATGAAACAGAGAAGCTGATTGGTTGCCATGGGTAACTACTCCAGATTCTGTCTGTCCAGTTTTTATGAATTCCTCCCATTATGTGTTCTGCAACAGAACAGCAGAATGTCTCCGTGCATTGGTGAATTGGCTGCAAAGTAGATTATTGTTGGCTTGTTAAATCATGATGAAAATAAGATGTTGAAATTGCCAGGAAAATAAATGAAAAATAAAAGTCTTAAATGTTTTAAAAGCATACTATTATGACCCCTATAAACAGTGCTATTTTAATGATATTATACAGTGCAGGGCCATTTATATTACAATCCTATATGGCTACTAGACTATGTGCTGACATGTGCTTCTGGCGCCCTCTGCTGGTGGCATAACAAATGTGAATTAGAACCTGTACTTTTTGAATATTTATTTAAATATATTATTTATGGTTGAGCTATAAAAGGATCTGCTTGCTGTCGTAGGGACACAATTACAAGATAAACAATTCCATATACACATTATTTACCTTATTTTCTATAGTGATAGTTATCTTTTTATGAGTTTATAATGTATTGCATTTGTGTTCATTACTAGCTATTCCTTTGTTCCATTTAGGGGCAATCTCACTTCAGTGCTGCTTAAAATAAGACTGCCTTGCCATTAAGTAGGATGAATTCTAAATATTTTGGCCCTAGACAATCTGTTAGGTTGTGGTGGAGACATTAGAGTGTAAACTTTTTGGTGCAGAGTGAATGTTTTTTAGCATTCTCTTTGCAGTACTGTGGAATATGTCAGAGGCATATGTATGTATGTATAATAATAATAATAGTAATGTGTGGCTGTAATAGGGACATTAGAGTGAACATTCTTCTGGTGCAGAGACAGGTGTAGAGGCTTCAGTGTTCTTTGTACAGCACTGTGGAATATGTCAGAACTATAGAAATGTATCATAATAATAGTGTGTGATTGCGGTAAGAAATTAGGGTGTGAGCTCCTCTGGAGCAGAGCTGATGTAAATTGTTCAGCGTTCTCTGTACAACATTTTATAATATTGTCAGAGCTATATCATTCTGTAATAATAATAATTTGTGACTTTAGTGGGGACATTAGAGTGTAGGCTCCTCTGGTTCAGTGTGTTCTTTGTACATCACTTTGCAATATGTCAGAGCTATAACAGTGTCTAATAATAATAATAAGGTGCGACTGTGCGTAGCATATTGGTGTATAGAAGTTGCATTAGATAATTAGATTCATAAATATTTCCAATGTTCTTTTTTTCTCAGGTCACCGTGGCCATCATCAGCTTCTTGGAGACAATGCTTCTCATCTATCTCAGCTATAAGGTAAACTGGCTGTACTCCAGTTTAGAGGTGTGATAAACCTCAGCAGCTCTGAAGGTCTCATCTTTCAGGCAGGGAAGGGGGTGGCATATACTGTATCTAGGTCACCATTCAGGCATATGTCAGGGGGATGACAGGGGGCAATTATTTCAGGCTTAGAAAATATAAGTCTTAGATCTGATGGTGAGTTGAGAATAGGAGAAAATCACAGACATAAGGACTGGCTGCCGAGGAAGAGCAGAAAGCTTACATTTAGATCACAACTATTATAAATCTATGACTAGAGTGCTTCTTTAAAATGCAGAAGTTTCTTATTATAGAGCTAGACCAGGTGATAAAAAATTCAGAGAAATTCTACTGGAAAATGTCAGCAGTAGGAGAAGTCATTAATCACACCCTATCGATATTTATAAGTTGAGTAGGTATTTCTGGTTCACTAGTATGATTATAATTTGGAGGACGTGCCAGCTAGTCCATATGAATGTTCTAGCCTCTCTTACTGCCTTCAACATTTGGGGAAAAAATAACTCTGCTGCTGCAGAACCTCTTTAGTCTTCCTTGCAATGTCATGACATAGAAACCTGAATGTTTCCCATTTACACCCTCAGGGCAATATATGGGAACAGATCTTCCGAGTGTCTTTCATTCTGGAAATGATAAACACCGCCCCTTTCATCATTACGGTAAGCTGATTAGTGTTTTGGGTGCCCCGGTCATTTTATTTTGCTTATTTACCTTTGTGAACATGGAACCCAGAGGATGAGCATGCCAGCTAGACAGTTAGCATTTTTTTTTAGAAGTGACTCCCTCTGTATGTCTTTTAAACTGGGGTTCATGTTAGTTCTACCAAACATGTCAATGTTCTGTATAGCATGAGCCCCAAATCCGGGCTAGTGGGTAGGGTGGTCCTCTCATGGACAAGGGGGCCTTCTGTCAGCATTCAGAAGGCCAGCCATGCCCCATATACACTGAGTGGCCAGATTATTATGACCACCTGACGTTTGTAGGCAAATTAGCTATAATTAGCTATATAATTTCATGCTGAAGTTGCTAGAGGGCTAGACCATTATAAATAGGGAAGCAGGTTGTTTACCACGACAGTAGAAGTGATTTTTTTCTGAAGATATGGGTAATTAATGCGATTGAACAGCCTTTAAACGTGGGGTGATTGTTGGTGCTCGGAGCCATGGAGCGAGTATCAGCAAAACAGCAGAATTCGGTAAATGTTCAAGAGGGGCTCATTGTTAAAGTGTTTAAAGACTGGACTGCCAGCCGAAAATCTGGGTCTGAATGTGCGAATTGTGGCCGTCAGCGACTAGTCAATGTTAGGGCAGAACGGAGAGTGGCAAGACTGGTACAAGACAACAGAAGGGCAACAGTGCAGTGTCAGATTCCTCGCATCACCTTTCAACATCTCGTGGAGTCACAAGGCGGCCCAACGAAGTCATCTCGTGGAGTCACCTCTTGGCCCAACGAAGTACTTATGGGGTGGTCATAATAATCTGGCCACTGATGTATACTGGTCTTAGAACAGACTAGCCTGTGGTTTAAGGCTAAAAATCACAACGTTGCTTTTTGTCAGCTCGGCTTTTCCCCCGCAGCCTTTGTTTCGGGTCCTTGAAACTCACGTCTGCTCAGAAAAGTCACGACGTGAAATAAGTGGCAGGCGCAGCTGTAGGATTTTCTTTTCTAATTGACTGAAACCTCCAAACGCCGAGCAGAAATTACCAGCTAGGTGGGAGTAAGGCTCTGTAGACTCGCACTGCTGGCTCCTCGTCACAAAGGAGCCTTCTTTATTCCACCTTCCTGCCAAGTCATTTGTAGGCTTTTGAGTCTTATCATGGCAGCTAATGAGTTCACGTTTAGCGGAGCAAATGAGGGTTGAAAAGATTTTATAGAATAAAAAAACAAAATACACCTCTGACTGAAACAAAAATACACTTCTGTGAATGAAGTCTTTTTAAAGTTTACCTAAATTAAACCCAGGTGTTTGAAAATGAGCCTGTGATTAAAAAAGGTTAGACTGCAGTAAAATCAATGCATGTCAAGAGAATCAATAGATGCATAGATATAGACAGCTAAAGATATGAAGAAAGGGCGCAGAGAACACTGGCTAGCTAACAAAGTTATAATGAAGACTAAAGGTGGTGGCACTTACGCGTGATTGCCAGGATCTGGAGATGGACGGCCGGTATGGAGGATCGGGGCACTCGTGGTGTGGTTCCGACTGTAGTCGATGTGCTGATCCGAGAGGTACATCCACAGGAGAGTGTAGACGAGAAGAGGGGACTTCGTCCGAAGTGCCGTTAGGGGTCTGTGCGGTGTGGAGGAGAGGCAGGGAGATCGCTGTGGTGTCGGCAATGGACCGCTGGCAATGGACAGGGCTGTAGCAGCCACAGCTGTGTGTGTCAGCGGGCGGTCACTGTCAGGTCTGCTGGGGACAGTGTACGGAAGCAGCTGACAGATGCCGAAAGTCGAATCAAATGGTGAGATGGAGAGGGATCAAATCGGACAGGAGCCGGGCAATGGATAGGGCTGTAGCAGCCGTAGCTGTGTGTGTCAGCGAGCGGTCACTGTCAGGTCTGCTGGGGACGGTGTACGGAAGCAGCTGTCAGATGCAGAAGATCGAGTTAATGGTGAGATGGAGAGGGATCAAAGCGGACAAGATCGACGCGTTTCGAGGTATTACCTCTTTTTCAAGCTTGGGTAAAACTGTTTTACCCGAGCTTGAAAAAGAGGTAATACCTCAAAACTGTTTTACCCGAGCTTGAAAAAGAGGTAATACCTCGAAACGCGTCGCTCTTGTCCGCTTTGATTTAATTGTTTAACTGAGCGTTATATTGCTGTTTGTCACATTTCGGCCCCTCTAATGCTGAAACCTGCAGTGGCCGCACTTGTCAGTTTAATAGTCCATTTTAGAATGTAGCGGATTGTAAGGTTAGCTTGTGGCGTCAGATGGGCCTTCGCTGTTTCAGACTCTGTGGGATGGCAGGGTATGAATGATGATAAAACTGTAGAGTGGAGTAATTTGCGACTCCACATTGATTCTCTTCTTGTTGCTCAATGGTGAAATGTCTCTTTAGCATTGTTGGAGCCAGCATTACTCCTATCTCATGGCTCAGAGCGAGAAGATAACAGCGGGCTTCCTTTATGAGATCCCATTTACATTGCTAGGTAGTTCTTTGTGTTCACAGGCCCTACATGTAAATGAATCATCTTTGGAGTCTGTTTTATGCAAGTCTGTGAAATCTAGTCTGTTTCACACATTGAGCTTGCTTTAAAGAGAACCAGTTGCAACCCGAATTAGGCAAGTATTCTAATATGCACTGTTAAAGTATATCTAAAGCCTTTTTTCTTAGCTTTGGGTGGAGCAGGGAAAGTATTAAATCCCCTGTCTGGTGTGTATTACTGTCTGTGCCCCCCTGGGGATATTCATCATTTGTATTAGACATGGTGACCATCTGTTCTGGTGGCATTGGACTAAGAGGCGATTTCCTCTTATTATGAAGAAATATTTTTCCCACTTCTGTTGTATCTTCAAGACAGGAAGTGATGGGGAATCTCCCCAATGGGACACACAGCAACATTAAATAAATAAACCCGATAGAGGTATTTACTAACCAAAATGCATCCAAACTGTTTATTGTTCACTTTTTTGATTGAAGTAATCACTAACAATTAATGATAAGTGTAGGAGGAGGACAGTAAATATATTTAATATGATTTTTTCCTTATACATAATTGTTTTCTTCTCTAGATATTTTGGCCACCGCTGCGGAATTTGTTCATTCCAGTTTTCCTGAACTGCTGGCTAGCAAAATGCGTTTTGGAGAATATGATTGTGAGTATCACAGCCAAGAAGTCATTTTGTTATGAAGACTTCCATTGTTCCCCTTCCTATCTTTAACCCTTTAACTCCTTCCCCTTCGCTGTTAGTCTTTTTTGGGGCTTTAATGGACTTCTTTAACAAACAGCGGAATATACAAAGTTCTGTAACCCACAGAAATCAATTAGAATGCAAATTACTAAGACCATCAGCTATTGATAGATACGCTTTAAAGCTACCTTAACAACATGCAAAAAGATTAAAGATCACCAGGTTGCAGTGCACTATTTTTTTAATAAACTGTTCTAAAGTGACAAAATATACTATACTGTTATAATATAGGCATTGTAATAGGAATACATATTTAGTTGCTTGTCACAGTGTATTTAAAGCTTACTTGAAAAAATCCCTTTTATGTAGTGAGTGCTGCCTTACTTCTGCTATCTTTTTTAACTTCCTGGATTCCCAGTGTGCTTTACATCATATTCCCTGCTGCTCGATGTATGCAATCTCGATTTCCCAAGACTACATAGACCATCATGCTTTGCTTTCAGCAAGCAATGACAATGTTACATTGATTGTTCAGAAGTTGTCAGGGGGGTACGGCTGGGCCGTGAGTGGAACCCCTTGGCAGGGGCGGCAAGCCAAAGTCCGAGGTCGTGGTACACAGGGAAAATCCAAGAAGAATAGTCAGGTCCAATCCGGGTCGAGGCAGGCAGCTAGTTTCAGTAACGGAAGGGTAAGCCAAAGGGTCGGTAATCAAGAGTCCAAGCAGAGGTTCAGGAATAAAGACAGGTTCAAGGCACAGGGAGCTGGGAGATCACACCATAGGGATAGAATAACTCAGCAATGAGCCAGGGCTCTGACTGGGCTTTTATACTCAGTGGAGGATTGAGACCACTCCCCGGCTACCGAGGCAACCAGGTAGCCTCTCCATCAGGAGCCAATGGCGAGAGAGGGGCAGAGGGTGTGTGCTGGGAACCTCCCCCAGCAAGGATCACACCTGACACCAGTAACAGGTGCACTACGTGCATGTCCCCGTTCCTGCGCGCACAGCCTGTCCACCGCGCACCCGCACTTGTCGCGCATGCGTACCCACAATCCTGGTACCAGGGGTCCTGCCAGGAAGGGGAACCCGTGCCCCCCGCCGCACATGGCCACCCCGAGGAGAGGTAAGCCCCCTAGTACCCTGACAGAAGTTGAGTTGTAGTTCAGAAGGCAGGCTCTGTGAGTTGTGACACATGGAAGTGCATATTTACAGGGCTGAGTAAATTTGTGTCAGTGTGTTGAGGAAGTATATCCTATAGGCATCTTCAATGAGTAAGCTTACAAACTTCTAGACTGAACTGGTTATTGGGTTGGAGTGGGGCAGAAGTTATGGAAATTCAGTATAGAAATACATATTGATTTTTAGTTTTTGACCATCGATACCGAGTAAGTAAAACAGAGGGCAGGGGTCATGGGTAAGTGACTCAGGGTTGCCGGAGTCATGGGTATCACAGAGTGCAGGGGGTCAGGGGCAAGTAATACGGACATTAGGGGGTCAGGGGTAAGTAAAGCATAGTGCAGGAGTCAGGAGCAAGTAATGCAGAGTGCATGGGTCACAGGTAAGTAAAGTATTGTGCAGGAGTCAGGAGTAAGTATTGCAGAGTGCATGGGTCACAGGTGAGTAAAGTATTGTGCAGGAGTCAGGAGTAAGTAATGCAGAGTGCATGGGTCACAGGTAAGTAAAGTATAGTGTAGGAGTCAGGAGTAAGTAATGCAGAGTGCACGGGTCACAAGTAAGTAAAGTATAGTGTGGGAGTCAGAAGTAAGTTATGCAGAGTGCATGGGTCACAGGTAAGTAAAGTATAGTGTAGGAGTCAGGAGTAAGTAATGCAGAGTGCACGGGTCACAAGTAAGTAAAGTATAGTGTGGGAGTCAGAAGTAAGTTATGCAGAGTGCATGGGTCACAGGTAAGTAAAGTATAGTGTAGGAGTCAGGAGTAAGTAATGCAGAGTGAATGGGTCACAGGTAAGTAAAGTAGAGAGCAGGAGTTAGAAGTAAATAATGCAGAGAGCATGGGTCAAGAGTAACTAACGCAAAGTGCAGAGGTCAGGAGTAAGTAACTCAGAGGTCAGAAGTATGAAATGCAGAGTGACATGCCCCCTGTGCCCAGCTGCCAGTATCCCCCTGTACACAGCATGCCCCCAGTGCGCTGGGTCGCTTCTGCTGCTGCCCTACAGGCCCTCTTCTTGACCCTGCAGTAACCCATAGCTAACAAATCCCAGTCAATTCACCCTCACTTCTTGTCCGTCCCAGGACAGAAAATGACAATGAAATTGAAAGCTTGATAGTTGTCACTGGAAAAAAAAAGGTAAGGGAGGGTACGGTAAGAGTTATAGTGACCACTTTCTAAGGTGGGATTTCTCCTCCCTTCTTATTTTTTTTGCCTGGACAATAATCTCCCTAACTGGACATAGGAAGCAAAAAAAATGTCCCTACTCCATCCAAATCCATAGACGTTTTGTCCGGCGTTCCTCTTTAAGTTAAAGTGACTGAACTCTGAATGTGAAAACATTTCCAGTGTTTGGTTTATAGCAGCAATAGTTTCTTGATGTTACTCACCCTGACTGGCTCTTTAACGTGTCACAAATCTGATCTAAACGTTTCTCTTCAGTTTTGTATTTCCCATCCAAACAATGGCAGCAGATGACTCTTGATTGCACCACTCAGAATTGCTTGCTGCTCTGATTATTTCCCAGGGTGGTAATGAGATCTCAAGTGGAAAGGAACTTTTTCCCTGAGTCTAGAGAGCGCAGCTGATTTTCTAAAAAGCCAAATTATTAGGAATCCAAAAAGCTTTAATGGTTTTAAAAATACCATCCAAAAGATTCAGCCTTCCCCAGTTTTGCACGGTTGTTCAGGCTCCTCTCCAGTACTGAAATTGCTCACTTCTGGTTTCACTGCACACTGTGAGCTTCCCATAGTATGCATTTCAATCTGCAGCAACTAGGATGGATCCTGCCTCATTTCCTGGCTGGAGAGAATCAGCATTATCTAATAATAATGAAAACTGAAAAGTTACATTAACAAAATGTCTTCATCATGGTAAAGAGGGGGAACGGAGAAACCAGGGAAGGCAAAATATAAAAAGAGGAAAAACCTGAGTTTTAGCTTTTGAATGTGTGCAAAATTACTTCTTATTTTTACTGATTAGCTGGATGTTGGCTGCCTGTTTATTCTATATCTAAACACACTAAAAGCATAGAACTTCTACATTTTGTATTTTTATCTTTAACCAAAAGATCTGTTTCCCTTTGCATTTTTTTTAATGCACAGGGAAACCGACAGCAATAAAACCATGACAGAGTTTTGCTACCTCATCTAAAGCTAATAAAAAATGCTCAGTATTGATCCTATGATTTTTTGTGGCCTGCGTCCTATTGCAATAAGTGAAAATCTCTTCAAGTGAGAGGCAATCCCCAGTTAAACACTCGTCACCAGTCAATTTAGTTTAAATAATAATAAAATTAAAAAAATGATAAATCAGAGGTGGATTGAGAAGTGTCTTTGCATTCCAGCAGCTGCCCTAGTTCTCAGTGAGCTTGCTCTCTATATAGGTGCCCATACACTTTACAACCCTCGCAAGACTTTTGTATTGCGAGTGTTGTAAAGTACTTAAAAAAACGTACGATCTGCCCATCTTGGACAGGCAAATCGTAATTGCGATGACTCCAATGAGGGGCGGGCTTCCAAAGACTGCAAACGGGCAGTGTGCGCGTGCGCACACCGGCCTGTTCGGCAGTTGTCGCAAGCAGGTCACTAACTCGCCGAGAATCGTACGATTCCCGGCGGGTTTTCCATGGTTTTCCATGGTTTTTCGATGGAAGTAGAAACGGTCCCACGCCTTCCATACACTGCACGATTATCGTACGATCTTGGGATTTCCCGCGATTCTCGTACGAGAATCGTGCAGTGTATGGGCACCTTATATGGCTGTTATAACATGCCAGGTTTAGGACACTGCATATTACCATATAGAAGAAACACAGGCAAGATACACATGGGTTATCTCTGGCCTGCCATACCCAAATCTTGACTGAAATGGCTTCTCTACATTTTATTGATGAAGGGGTTCAAATGAGTTTTCGATGAAGTATAAAAGTTCCTATACTGAAGATTTAAAAAATCAATTCCCAGGAGCTGTGTGGATTTGAAATTAGCCATCTGTAGGAGCAACTAGTGTGGCATGAAATTAAATAGTCTGCAGTGTTTGGATGAACTTACATTAAAGTTACGACATACAAAAAAAAAGTCATTATTATTATTGCAGTTTCTATTTGTGATAAGTGTACATTAAATATATATGCCCTGACACAGATGTGGTCAATTTGTTTAGGCCATCTTCAAATTCCAGCACCAGATATCTGCTACTCTGGCCCCTTTCATCTTTATAATCCTTACAATAATAGACTAAGGGCTAGTTCACACCACATGCAGTTGTGATGCAGTCCGTTCAGTTTGGCAGCTGCATCAAAATCGTGTCATTATGCTTTGCAGTGGGATTTCTGGAGCTCTGTTCACACCAGTGCAGTCAGTTCTGATGAAGTCAGAAAAAAATACTGCTTGTCTCATTTTAGCTGTGCCTGTTCGCAACAGAACGCATCAAAAACGCATGGAAATATACTGGAATGCACTGGACTGCACCTAAAAGGCCATTTTGAGCTAAAAAAAGCGTCAAAATCGTGGTATAAACGCAGCAAAACGCATCGCACTGCAGCTGCACAGACACATGCAGTTATGGTGTGAACTAGCTCTAAGGCCTGAGTTGTTTATTCACCTTTCCTTATGCCTGTTGTGAATTAGCCCTAATGGTGTTTTATTGCTGAGCATCGTAAACCACTCACCAGCAAACCACCAACTTATTACCACTAGACAGCTGAGCTAAAGATCGCCTGCCCTAATAACGAAATAACTGGCCTTTAGCTCACCTCTAGCAATAGCTGTAAGTCTCAATCTCATTCAATATTCATAACTTTGATTCTGGGGATGGTACATTAAAAATACCCATATGTATAACCGCATCCTTTCACATTAAATCTGGACATATTCAACATGATTGGTTTAGGAGGTCCAGAGGTCTAACACACATTCACCCTTCTGAGCCAGACATACTTCATCCTGTCTGAGGATTTGTTCACGCCATGTCCGGACCAGAACATTTTTTTCCACACCTGAAATGCATCCCAATGTGTTCCTATGGTATTTCTGGGCTCTGTTCACACCAGTGAAGTCCATTCCGATGCGGGAAATAAAATGCTGCATGCACTATTTTTTACTTGTCTGGCACGCACCAAAATGCATATAAACGCACTAACGCATTGGACTGCACCGTTAAGCCCATTTTAAGCACACACAAAACATTTGCTGCATCGCATTTACAGATCTGATCCAGATCTGGTCCAGTCATAGCGTGAACAAGCTCTGAAGGGACAGTGGCATCACAGGCATTGTTTAAGTTTATTGAATTGTCACAGCATTTGCTGGGAACGGTGCGTGTTTCTTTTAAAAAACGCGGCGCTAGCTATTGCTTGTCTGTGTAAAGGGTTAACTGCGGGGTTAACCAACCCCAGTGATGATCTCTCTATCTGCTGGCCTTAGTTTGTTGTCCCATAGACTGAAAAGTCTCTGTGCAGTGTGAGCCTGAGGATGGTTTCGCAACGTCCTTGTGTCAGTTTGGTTGGATCGGAACTATTCCCTTTCCTTTGGCAGAACGTTTTCAAAGTTTTTACTCAATTCTGTTTACAGTTCCCAAACCCAATGGAAGATTTCCTCCAATTCTGAATTTGAAAGCACTCAGTGCATTTGTACATATTCACATATTCAAGATGGAATCCATTTGGTTGGTTGTCACCTCTTAGACAAGAAGATTTTTTGGCTTCCGTAGATATAAAGGATGTCTATCTACACATTCCTGTATTTGCAGTTCATCAATGTTTCCTTTGTTTTGTGGTGGGCAAACTTCATTATCAATTTGTGGCTCTTCCTTTCGGGTTGGCTTTGGTTCCAAGGGTTTTTACTTTTTACCAAAGTTCTTGCTCTTGTTTTTTTCTTTACAAGGGCATTCCGATTGTTGGATATTAAGACAACCTTTTTACTTTGAGAACAGTCTCTTCCTACTCAATGTCTAGACAGTCCTGAGCACATTAGAAGACTTCAGGTGGATTCTGAACATCGAAGTCATCCCAAGTTCCATCACAGCGCTTGGAGCATTTGGGTCTTCTGTTAGATACCCTTCAAGCTAGGGATGCACCGATACCGATACAAGCATCGTATCGGCCGCGATACCGAGTATTTGCATGGGTACTCGTACTCGTGCAAATGCTCGGATGTCTAAAACGAGTACCTGTGTCCGCCATCTTCCACCGCCGCACACAGCACACAGGACCACGTCTGCATTTATTCAAGATGGCCGCGATCTCCTTCTCCACGGGCGAACGGCCGAAAGCAGACTCCGCCTTCAATTCCTCTGTCCTCACTCGTGATTGGTGGGGAAGCCTGTCAATCATCCAATCGGCCAATCAGCGTGAGAAGAGGCCGGCATTGACAGATGACTAGGCTGTGACACGAGGGGATGAAGCAGACGGAGAAGACGGAGAAGAAGGTTAGCAGCACTGCTGGGGCTGGGCACAGGATGGGGGGTGGGCACAGGATGGCCTCAAAAGTTATATTTGTCTCAGCAATGGAAAAACATTTTATTTTATTCATGCTGTATTCACTCAGCTACGATTCCCTGGCTGGAATCCATACTTTTGCACCTGCAAGTTAGTTATGTGAATGAGGCCTAAATGTAAGTTTAAGATGATTTTTTTTACTTTTGGGAAAGCTTGGTGGAGTTATAATTGGAACAAAAGCAGAGGTTTTGCCTGTGATATTGCAACTTGCAGGTGCAAAAAAAAGGATTCCAGCCAGGGAATCATAGCTGAGTGAATACAGCATGAATAAATATAAAATAATTGTTTTTTCCATTGCTTAATCAATATTATATAAAATAAAGATTAATTTATCTTTGACCATGCTGTATTAATATAACATGGGCTGGCTGTTAGGTGTGTGAATGAGGTCTTAAGCTAAATTAAGTTTTTTTCACTTTTCTACACAATTCCATCTGCTTCCATCCTATCCATACGCCATCTTGTGGCCTTTTTTCAAATGGCACGTTGAGATTTTACTAACTTTCGCTGAGTACAACTTTGTGACAATTTAAGCAAAGTAAACTTATTTTTTGACAGTCATGTTGTCTTTTGAGTTACAGTTCTTCATAATATTAACAAACTGACCTAAAATCATTATTTTGTATTGCTTTGGAAAAAAATGTGATCTGCCTCTTTAAGAAAAAGTATCGGTAATTGGTATCGGCGAGTACTTTAAAAAAAAGTATCGGTACTCGTACTCAGACCCAAAAAAGTGGTATCGGTGCATCCCTACTTCAAGCAAAAGTATTCCTTCCTCAGAACAAAATATTGATCAAGTTCGGTTGCTTCAATCCCTTCCTCTCTGAGAAACTGCATGAGAATACCGTGATCGATGGTGTCAACCTTCGTAACGGTACCTTTTGCTCAGTTACTTTCCAGGACTTTACAGAGGAACATTCTTACAACGTGGGACAAGTCTCCTCTGTCACTGGACAAGATCTGAGTGAGTGTCATGGTGGTTGACAGCCCCTGCGTTGACAATTGGAAGTCATTTTCTGCCCATAACTCGGAAGATCATCACAATGGATGACATTCTTTTGGGATGGGCTGTGTCTTGGATCATCTGTCTGAGCATGGTTGTTGGTCTCCAGCGGAATCCAAGCTTCCGATATTTGTCCTGGACTTGAGGGCAATTCGTCTGGCATTGTTTCACTGGACCTTTCTTCTCTCTGGGTGTCCGGTTCACATTCAGCCACACAATGCTACGGCGATGGCAAACATCAATCACCAGGGAGGCACCAGGAGTGTTTTGGCACTGATGGAAGCAGTCGATCTTGGATTGGACTGAGCTTCAGGTTTCAGTGGTGCACATTACAGGAGTAGAAAAGTGGCAGGTTGATTTCCTTAGCAGACAACATCTTGATCTGGGCAAATTGTCTCTCCATCCAAAGGTGTTTCAACAACTTTGTCACCACTGTGGAACGCCAGATGTGGATCTTCTGGCTTCTCATCACAACAAGAAAGTGGACAGATTTGTGTACAGAGTGAGGGATCCATCGTTGGAGGCAGTGCCTTAGTAGGTCTGTGGGATCAGTAAACACTATTGTATATCTTTTCTCCACTGATGCTATTGCCTCATCTGCTTCACTGGATAGAACATGGAGGAATTCCAGTCCTTCTTTTCTCTCCAGATTGGTCTTGCAGGGAGTGGTATGCTGAGTTGGTTCATCTGTTGGCAGATGACCCCTGGCTTCTTCCAGATCTGCCAGATCTGTTATCTCAAGGCCCAATCTTCCACCCTGCATCTCAGTTGCTGGCTTTAACAGCCTGGCTGTAGAAACCCAAGTGTTGAAAGACAAAGGAATTTCAGGATCAGTTCTTCTGACTATGCTCAATGTTCATTGACCTTTCCTTAGGGTTTTTTCCCATGTGCTTTTTCTATATGCCAAATTTTGTTTATCAAAGTTTAGCTCCAAGTACCATAAGGGTCAAATATCTGCTTTGTCGGTCCTCTTTCAACCTCCTCTTTCTTCCAATTCATTGATTCATATTTTTATTCAAGGAGTTCCACACTTGGCTCCTCATGTTAGGTCTCCTCTTCCTCAATGGGATTTGAACTTGGTTTATCTGTTCTACAAAAACCTTTTAACTATCTCAGTCAGTTATTTGTCTTTGTTATTCTGAAAGGTTGCCTTTCTTGTGTCCATTACCTCGGCTAGAAAGGTTTCAGAGTTATCTGCTTTGTTTTGTGGAGAACCCTATTTTGGTTCTTTATAAGCACAAGGTTGTTTTAAGACTGCAGGTTTCCTTTTTACCCAAGGTGATTTCAGCCTTTCTTTTAAATGAATACATTGTTTTACCTTCACTTTGTCCAGCTCCTGTTTATCCTAAGGTAATTTCTCTGCATTGTTTGGATGCTAGTGTCCATTTATCCTGGATGCAGCAGCATAACCCTGAGGCCCTGTTCACCCCTTTACGTTTTGTTGCGCGTTCAAGGCTCTATGAACGCTCTACAAAACGTACAAACATGAAAATCCCACAAGTACATGTACTTCTTTGGGCCGTTTTTGTTGGGCGTTTCCATTGGGATACAGCCAAGTAGCACTCGGAAACGCGCGTTTAGGTCTCGTTCACACCTAGGCGTATTGCATATGCGCGTCTTTCGTGCGACCGTTGCACGTTTTTTTACCGCGATTCGCGGTAAAAAAGTTGCGCGACCGTCGCGCGTTTACGAAGGCTACTTGGCTGTATCCCAATGGAAACGCACAACACAACGGCCCAAAGTAGTACCTGTACCTTTTCAGGCGTGGGCCGTTTTGTAGCGCGTTAGGGACGGACGGAAATACGCCAAGGTGGGAACGAGACCATTGAATACAATAGGATTTATATTTTTGAGCGTTTTGTAGAGCGTTCGTCGAGCGTAGAACGCGCTACAAAACGTTCAGGTGTGAACGAGGGCTAGTCTCAGAATTCATGGTAAGAACAAAATTATTTTGTTATATCTGCATCTCTTAAACAGCATGCTTTGTTGTCAGGTTATGTCAATAGTGTAGTTTTAATTTTATTTATAGTTGTCCTGTTAAGTTTAATAATTACTGCTCTTCTGTGGCTGGGACCACCTAAGAGGAGCCATGTAGAGGTATGAAGGAGGGGCCTAACAATAAAGCACAAATACTCTGACAACAAACCACAAGGCTCAGCACCTATTACACAGAGATTTTATTAGACGATAATTATAATTATTCTCTGCTTTCAGAACGACCTTCACCGTGCTATTCAGAGGACGCAGTCTGCCATGTTCAATCAGGTGATCATTCTGATCTGCACTCTTCTGTGCCTTGTCTTTACAGGGTAAGCAATCATTTTGTGTCTGACTTACTGTTAATCTCCCATTTACAGAGCAGCACTGTAATTTCCTAGTCTTAGAAGAGCGAAGGCCTCTTTAGCGACAGTGGCTTGGTGACAGGAGCAGATGATTTTGGAAACGGAACCAGTGATGATGGTTCAGCAGCTTAATCTGTAGGACAAGCATGTCTGAGATTGTTCCGTCTTTTGAAAAGCTATGATGAATTCTGTATCATGATCATATACAGGTGAAACTCGAATAATTAGAATATCGTGCAAAAGTAATTGCAGTAAGTGCTGCAAAAGGGGCCCAAACCAAGTACTGAGTACATATGCATGCTTGTACTTTTCAGAGGTCCGATATTGTTCTATGTACAATCCTTGTTTTATTGATTGCATGTAATAATCTACTTTTTTGAGGTTGTGGATTTGGGGTTCTTGGGGTTTTCATGAGCTGTAAGCCATAATAATCACAATTATGACAAATCACGGCTTGAATTATCGTGCTTTGCATGTAATGAGTCTATCTCATATATTAGTTTCACCTTTTAAGTTGCATTAGTGAAATAAATGAACTTTGCACAATATTCTAATTATTCGAGTTTCACCTTTATATTCTTTATACATAAAACATAATTACATTGAAGCACAGTAAATTCCCTTTAAATCCTAACCCAGCAATTGTTCCTTAATGGCGCCTCTATCTCCTGGCGTGATATTGTAAGCTGCTAATTCTATGTATTGCTGCATCCCGCCTCTGTCCTCAGCGCAATTACTGTGTCGGCGTGCTGTTAACATTACTGAAAAGAGCGGAAAATTATAACTTCTCCAGGCCTGACGCATCATGATGGCCGCGAAATACAGCAAGCAATAAATGTTTTTCCTCCTCAATTCCTTTTTTAGTGTAAGCAAGCAATAATATATTAGTCTCAGCACACCCTGACAGCCAGACAAAAGTCAAGGTTTGACATTCTTCAGAAAAGATGTCAAATCTGTCACTTTTCTAAGAAGGACAGTTTAACAGAAAGACCAGTGAGCCTGTTAAGAGTTTGAACCTTTTTGTGGAACTTTAATGGGGGCCGTTGCCAGAGTTTCCCTGTACGTATAAAAGTCATGCTGCACAGATAAAGTTCCTGCTTTTTCCTCCAGCAACCTTTCCTCTGCTCCAGTATTGCCTGCAGACTCCATAGAGGTGATCCCGGGGGTTATGTAAACAGCAGATTGGCTGCTGCACATGTGCGGAGTGAGTCTTTATTTAAGAAGCAGCAAGCTGTCAGCAGAGGTTGCATGGTGGAGTATGAGAACAGTGGACTGACCTGTGTCTGGACCTGTGTCCTGCTATATCTACCATCCTCTGCAGAGTATTTACACTTCAATAATATTTCTGTTTTAATGGGGATAGGGAGCAGGGTTCAAAGGCTATCAGAGGAGCCATTTCCCCATCTATATTACAAGTGCCGCTGTGCTGAAGTTAACTCATTAATTTATACTTATTCTGTTTTGTGATAATCAACAGCAAGATGATGAATAGAAAATGCATAAATAGAAAATGAGGTGATTCGATACAGATATACTCGCCAGCACAGCTCCAGCTTCAGGTTCAGGCTCTTACAGTGGTTCTTCTACACATAAGACACAAAAGTAGAAAAAAAGGAAAGTAGCCGCACTGCAGAATTAAAGCCACCTAAGTAGTTTTATAGAACGGTCCAGTGCAAGGTAGTCCACCAGAACTTTACCCCCTAAAACGCATTTCACTCACAACAAGGTTAGTGGTAGAGTAGGAGCTACCAGGTGATAAGATTTGGTTATACACAAATCAATCTAAAGCAACGGGAATTAATCAACATCCTCATCAATAACAAGCTGTTTAACATACCCCCACTTCAGTTCGATATACAAAATGTATCAAACTTGTCTTAACACAAGATACTAAATGTCAATCCTCATAGGAGGGTACTATTGCATAAAAGTAGAAACATTCTCCATAAAATAATTACTAAAGAGCACTGTGTGGGACAGAACTAGTTTCCCTTTAAGGCTTGTGCACACCATATGCAGTGACCTGCATTAATCTGCACAGAAAAACACACTGTTATTACCCAGTTATAACATAATGCAGCGATGAGGTATGGTGTGGAAAAATGCTGCATTTTTCTGCGGCACATTGCATGGCATAGCATGTAAATTTAGCACGGAAACTTGAATAAAGTGTTGTTACAACATATGGCACCACTCCTTACCGCTGCTACACAGTGGACACCAGCCCACATGCTACAGCCCCTTTAAGCATGCATGCTGGTGTGAACAAGCCCTTAATGATATGATTCCTGAAACCTTAAAATAAAATAAGCAGCAATTGTGCAGTTACCCGTAACAACCAATCAAATTTACTGGTTGCCAGGGGTAACATCTCCACTTTTGTCCTCATTTTGGTACCTCCAGCCCACTGTGTCACCAATAAAAGAGAGCTAGCTTAAAGTGACATTAAACCCTCAGCTATTTTAACATAAAACAATACTGTAATGTGTGCCTTACTGTAATCCATGGTAGTTTCCCTTCTCTTTGCTGCTCTTCCTTTTAAATCTGTATCCGTTCTCATGCTGGGCAGAACTTCTGTTTTGCAGCAGACTGCCTTGTCTCAGGAATGGATATATGGTGTCTGTGTATAGGTTTGTATAGGTTTGTAACCTGAGCCAGCACTACAGGAAGAGTCACTCAGCTGCAAAGGGAAGTTCTCCCCAAGCATGAGAAGACATGAGCATTTAAAAGGAAGAACAGCAAAGAGAAGGGAAACAACCATGGATTACAGTAAGGTACACATTACAGTATTGGTTTATGTTAAAGAATCTGAGGGTTTAATGTCACTTTAAGAAAGCTGTTGTGGTGAAGATGTTGCAACCAGTCAAACATCATCTTCCCTCTTTCTTTCTTTTCTTTAGTTTATTAATGTCCCTACTTTGACTTTAGGCGTATTATTTTGTGCAAAATTCACACCCCCCGATCTTTCAATTAATACCTATGGTGTATTATAATATTACAATAGCCCTTCCGTATTACGTGCGACAATACCTCTGTAGGAAGGGGATATATATAGAACATACATTTCTTTTTCTGCCCAGTTTTTACGCACTTTGCCTTGCAGCAGGCACATCATACAAGTTACAATGGCCTTTTTATGAGCAGGTAATCATAGCCCAATAAGACAGATTGGGGACATGACTGCAGTGCGCTGCAGCATGACCGCAGCTCGGCTGTTCTTGCTTTCGCATTTGTGAAGTCAAAGAAAATAGAAGGACAATAGTCATGACTCATGCAGCCTATCACACAGTTTAGCTTACTGCCTGTTTTCTCTCTACTTTTTCATGCAAATACTAGTTTTCATTTGCGTTTTATAATCCTCTGTGCTGCCGATTGTCATTTATTTAATTTCCTGTTTGCATTTTGCAGATAAGGCAAGGGTTTTAGCAAATATTTCACATCCTCACTAGGCTGTTGGGTGCTTTACAAAGGACTGAACTTAAAACGTTATAGGGAAAATTCAGTAATGGTAATTGTGCCTAAGCAGTACCCTGAAAAATATACCTTCTCAATTTGAATTCCTCCCGAAAAATAGCAGTACATTTCCTGGTATGTTAGTGTGCCTAGGCACCCCTGTGTTACTTTACATTAAGGTAAAGTACTTCAACACTACAATAATATCTCATAATAACACTAATAATAACTGGGTCTCCAGTGGGACGTTTTCCCCTTATTTCCTGTCCTGGCAACAGCATTATCAACAGGACAGGAAATCTCAAACAGGAACTAAGACAACAATAAAAATGTTTTTTTAAGAGTAGAAGTAGGATCTTTTTCAGCTTTTTATTGCTTTCTGTGTCTTCAGTGGACATTTTCCCTCGCTTCTTGTCTTGGTGATAGGGATAGGAAGTGAAGGGAAATCACCCCACAGACTGCAATATATCCTAACAACCGGTTCTAACCCCACCTCACGCCCCCCATCAAAAATAAAAGAAAGTGTTTGGGTTTAAATATACTTAAATACTGTCCCTTAAAGCCTAACCCCATTAAAAAAAAATGACCCTTGCAGTGGGGCTTCCCCTGCGCTGCAAGGGTTAATTGTTGAATTTGTCTAGGAGGAATATAAAGAGCAACTCTACTTACCCTATTATTCACTCCTGAAGGCTTCCTCCCAGCTGCATGACCGATCCCCTAAAGCTGTTTCTCTTTGCTGGTCACAGGCACTCTAATGTCATCCCATACTATGCAGGACCAGCAGTCCTGCATTGTAAGTAAAGATGCTGAAGGCACACCCACAGCCTGGAAAGTGGGGAAGAGTGCCACGGGAGCGAGGAATAAGGTAAATATCACTGCTTTTTCTGTTCCCCGTTGACATAAGTGAGCATTTAATCCTTGCATGATGGGGAAGTCCCAGTGCAAAGGTAATTTTAAATTTTTCCCACAGCTCAACATTAATTCCCAATTATTTTAATATTGAGACAACAACCTAATCTGTATTCTAGTATGTAGAGGAAAAGGCTAACTTTGGACTGTGGCTGTTTTTCAGGATGTGCGGCATTCAGCATTTGGAAAGAGCTGGGGAAAATCTTTCACTCTTCAATTCATTTTATTTCTGCATTGTGACATTCTCTACTGTGGGCTATGGAGATGTGACTCCTAAGATATGGCCATCTCAGCTGCTAGTGGTGATCATGATCTGTGTGGCACTCGTGGTGTTACCACTCCAGGTATGCTATACATGTTCTGTCTTTGTTGGTGGTGAAATTACATGCACTCATAGGATTAGAGCAAAGACCTAAGGGTACGTTTTAGCATTGCCAAATCAAATTATTATCTTCAGTTAAAAAAAAGTGCCTCATTTTTGGCACAAATAAAAATGCTTTTTCCAAGGTTCCTCATGTGACCTAGATCAAACCAAAAGATCTTATGATTTCTGGATATTAAGGGCATTGTTAGAGTTTCACATGATCATAGACTGCAGGGAGTCTGTCAACTAACACCTGACTGATAGACTAGCAGGATCCGGAGGGCACAACCAGGTAGCAGAGCTTCCTGTGTTTGTAATTAGCAAATATGGCTTCCTCAATCTACAGTTATATTTTCAAAAGATACAAACAAGGCTTTTAATAAATAAATACACATTGGTAAGATTACTTTTATTAAGATAATCTGTATGGCATGTTCATTTAAAAACAGTATACTGTAGTTCCACTTTAAATTGCAAATAGCAGCTTCAAAAATACAAATATACAAACAATAAATATTTTATAGCTACCATGCATCTTCTTTTGCTGTTGGGGGCAATATAAAAAAAAAATTCTGTTCAACTTTGGTTTCCAGCCTGTAACAATTCCAAGGCCCTATTAACAGCTGAGGAAAATGATATCCTATGATGTCTGAGCCCCATCGTCTGTTCATTGTCTTGAGCTGCCATTTCTACAGGCTGGCCTTGTATTGGGACACTGTGCATTCTGCTGTACAGAAAGCTCAACAATTCTCAGGATGGAATTACCATGGGGTCTGCAATATCAGTAAAGGGCATAGGGTCTACTGAGGTGTAGAGTTTAAGGAGCATCCGTTTTTCTCAAGTTAAACTTCCTAGGAGGTCCGACTGACACGTCATTGCTCTTAAGTTCATTCAACTAAAATGCCTGAAGATGAATTGAAGTATAGTCAGTGAACACAGGTGGCCAAAGCAGCAGGCAAGCAAGTTGTGCAGCAGACAATTGAACAACTGAATCCAGAAGAAAGACCAGGGTCACAACCAAAATAGCAACCGGAATCAAAGATTGTCTGCCAACAGCCAGCAAGAGAACTCACAAACAAAGGATTATCAGCTAACCCTGCAAAAGGTGAGAGAGGGTTTTTCTTAACCATTAAGAACAGAAGTACCTTCTCATCTGGAGAACCTGCAAGTGAACACAGCTTTTAAATAAATTGGCTAAAATTCTGACAGTTCTGAAGGTGTCCTTGTTTCACTTCATTTCTATATGGACAGTTTGTTGACAAAGGTTGCAGAGTCTTCAGGAAGATACGCTGTCCTTAGGGATGGAGCTGTTGTAAAGAATCTGTCAACTCCACACTGGCTTGATGTTGGAGAGTCTACCAGGCATAACATAGCGCTGCAAAGAATCTCTAGGTACCAAACCCTGGGTGACAGAAGTTAACCAACACTGAAATAATGGAATTTTTTATTCTGATTAACTCTGAATCTTCAATACCCAACCTATAGCTTTTAATATAATCTACAGGATCAAGACTGCTTACAGTTTCTCTCACCAGCAAGGACCATAATAAGAAATACTGTATATTTTAACATTTTATTTTAAAGTTACCGTTCTTGCTAGAGTACAGCAGAAACAAAACAAAAACATATAAGCATGAGTTTAGTTCTTCTGTTTCCTTGTTGTCTCCCATACTTTTGGAAAATCATCAGCAGGTCCTAAAGCTGCAGAAGGACAAATTGCTTCCTGACATCTAACCATCTATGGTCAACTTTATCATTGTAGGATGCAGACAGAGCCTATGCCACCTTCTCAGTGCTTGCTTCTTCCCTTCCTTGGGTCCATTTTATCAGTCTTATCATTTTTAAGTGATATCTGTTTTTTACTATATGTATACAACATTTGTGTTACAAATAAATCCCTTTTATAAATGCCAAGGGATTCCCAGTGCACCCTAGCACTAGCAGGATTGTCTCCTTTAAGGCATTCTGTCTCTGAATGAGACCTTGACAGAGCAGTACAGAGGGAGTTGATGAGAGAGAGAAGGTTGCATCAGTTACTGTTCTGACTCATTCAGTGCAAATTTCAGCTTAAGCTATTGTGCTCTGTGAACAGGCTTTTACAAAAGGGAGCTAAAACATGGTGGCTTTGGGTGGCTGCATGCTAAAAAGGATGAAACAAAATATTATGCAGTAGTTTTTATTTACCACCTTTAAAAAGGAAAGTAATGTTTTATTTTTTTGTCCCAACCGTTCTAAATAAAGAAAATCTATACAAAGACACTATATGTTCCCATTAATGCTCAAACAGATTGTAAATTGTCTTTAGAGTATGGAATGGTTTTTATATATATTACGAAGTCCTTCTTAGGTATAAAATAATAAATGATATAGAAATAAATGAAATAGGGCATGCATAACAGAAGGCTAAAATACGATCTTCAGTATCTTCATAAGGAAAGAAGGCATGAAGAGCCAAAAGAAACACAATGACACAAAGCCTGATGCAGAAGATAACAAAGGATGGCTTGTAATAATAAAATGACCTCTGGAAACGAATACACTTGAGTAAATAGACTTAGTAAGATAAAATAAATAATTATCCAGAGTATTTTAATTCAGTTTATTGCTTGTGGTTTAAAATGCAACTATCTATCCAAACAGACAATTAGCATCCTATCACCCTCACTGGGCAATGAACAAGCATTATCTTAGTGCTGAGGTACCCCCTGTGGTGTTGTCTATCTATAAGCTGGCGAAGCACGGCTCTTAATAGCTCCCAGTGCCTGAATTCTTATTAGATTGGCAGCATTATGAGCCAGACTGGTTTACGGTGCAGAACCTCATAATCAGAGTCTGATTTCTGTTATTAGGGTGTTTAAGGAAGAGAATATCTATATTCTGCTCTTTTACTAGCAGTAGTAATGATGTTTTAAATAAATAAATAACTTTACTAAAGGTGTATTATCTGTCTGAAAGATGGTTTTTAATATTATGGTTTACTTTAAAGGAGAACTATAAGGTGAGTGAAAATCACTCAGCCTCATAGTTCGAGCCCATGTGTGACAATGAAACTGTCACACGTCGGCTCAATAGATCGGGAAGTGAGCGAACACATACCGTCGCTCGTTCACTTCTCATTCATGTCCCTGCAGAGAGCCGTGACTGTCACTCACGGCTCCCTGCAGGGATTCTCCCCCCCCTGTCTGATCCCCCCTCCCCTATCTGACTGGCGGAACGGACGGTGGAGGGGGCCGGTACAGCTGGCTCTGCCTCTAGATAGGCAGAGCCAGCTGTCAAACACGCAGCTGGGTGGATCTCGACTAATGTCGGGATCCATCACGGCTGCGGCGGTCTCAGTATCCCGCGAGCTGTAGCTCACGGTATACTGAGCTTTGGGTCACGGGAGGTCGCTAATTTATGTCCTCCCGTGACCCTGAGGAGAACTATGGGGAAAAGCACTGACCCCATAGTTCTCCTTTAACAGCATTTACTTAATTGTTATAATATCTCTACTGTATATGTTATGTTATTATCAGTGCAGAAATGTAAATGGCTATGACAGGGTGGAAGTTACCCTTAAAGAGATGCTGGGGGTGATTCAGTCCATTGTAGGTCACCCTGTCTGTTAGTCCAAATGCACCATTTGTTGGCAAAAGGACAGAAAACACTGCTAGATTTCTTTTCCTGTAAAGAAACCTATTGAATGCTGTGTGTTTTTTTTAAACTTATTTGCTTTTTAATTAGATTTTTATTTATTGCCAGTTTGAAGAGTTGGTCTACCTTTGGATGGAGAGGCAAAAATCAGGGGGAAACTACAGCCGTCACAGAGCGCAGACTGAGAAACATGTGGTCCTCTGTGTCAGCTCCCTAAAAATCGACCTCCTGATGGACTTTCTGAACGAGTTCTATGCTCATCCACGGCTTCAGGTAGTGTGGCCAGGCTCTCTGCACTGTGAAAGAGACCCAATAACTTTGGTTTTTTTACTTCTATTTGTTATTTAGATTATCTTTTTTTTCAGGATTATTATGTAGTTATTCTCTGCCCATTGGAGATGGATATCCAGGTTCGGCGAGTTCTTCAGATACCGTTGTGGTCTCAGCGTGTAATCTACCTTCAAGGGTCAGCACTAAAAGATCAGGACCTCATGAGGGCAAAGTAAGTATGAGCTGGTGCAGTACAAGGGGTGAGAGTGTGGCCGGAGACCACCAATCAGATTTCAGATGTAATTTTTTACTGCTTCAGTTTAAAAGACAATTTCATTCCAAGGATTCAGTATCTACAATTGCTCATGTTTCAGTTCAACATATTCATGAAAAAATCCATACTTGTTTTAGATTTTTTTCCTGTCAACTTTACCACTTTCTCTTAAGATTGTTTTACTGAAACGTTTCAAATCTCACTTAAAGTGATACTAATCTCAGGAGTGAAATCTTAAAAATACAATGTACCTTATTTGTGTATCACTTGGCTGTAGCTCCTCAAATCATTTCTGAATTGGCGCTGACACTGTCCTTCCTTCTGGAGGGGGGCTACCTTTGTTCCCCATGGTCCCTGTGTGTGTTGTAAAGTAGCCACCACACCAAGCTCGCTCCTGTGATGGACTACAATCTCACGCTTAGTTTACTAATTTGTATTAAGATTGTAGTCTATCACGAGAACGAGCTTGGAGTGGTGGCCACTGTACAACACCCACAGGGACCATGGGGAACAAAAGTAACCACCCTCCAGAAGGAAGGACAGTGTCGGCATCAATTCAGAGATGATTTGAGGATCTACAGCCAAGTGATACATAAATAAGCGTCATTTTTGTTAATAGATCAGGTACTTGAATACATTTTTAAGCGTTACCGCCTAAGTTTGGTGTCACGGTAAGTTTTTGTTCTATAAACACATCAGCATTATTACCATTGTAACAAACAATGCACGTAACGAACAGTACTTGTACAGTCCCTGTACATTCTCTAAAAATTTCCAGCATGCTGCTATTTTGTTAGATGGTTATTTTAATATCTGATTAGTAGAACTCCTGATATATTGTATTTAATATATATTGTGATGATCTACAACCCGCATATAAATAATGTTCTTTAATGCAGGATGGATGATGCTGAAGCCTGTTTCATTCTGAGTAGCCGAAACGAAGTGGACCGCACTGCCGCTGTAAGACTCGAATCCCCCCCCCTCCCCCCCTCATCTATTACTTTAACAGCTGGAAGAGATGTGAAAATATGGAATGGGCTGCCACAGGAATTGGTTCTAGTAGTTAGGGCTGATTGTTTCAAAAGGGTTGAATTCTTTTCTAAATGTGTCAGATATTCACAATTGTTTATAGTTGTGAAAATACAAAGCAGTTTGTTGATCCAGGAATTTATAACAGTGCCATTATGGATCAAGAAGGATTTTTTTCCCCGTTAAAGCAAATTGGACCAAGCTTTATACGTTTTTTTGCCTTCCTTTTAAATAACTGGTGTTATCAATAATGATTTTTAGGGTTGCCAGACGAATTTTATTACCTTGTAAGATTGTATTGGTTTTCATCTGTCTTACCTACAAATCTATTTTGATGTATTCTTGGGAAACAAGCACAAAATACAGATGTCAGTTATACAAATGTAGCAAATACTGTTTATTAATATTTTATTTATAAAATTCCAGTATATTCTGAAATGCTGCAACAACATAATCTACCCATAACCAGCCTTAGAAGCAAAACATTAAAGAAGTTAAACATTAAACTAAATATTTTGAACACCATCACAATATTTTTAAGGGTTTCAACCTTTCTTTAAAATATTTATAGTCTTTAAAAAACAAACCCTAGAAGATGTATTTAATAACATAAAACTGACCCCAGTAGTGTAGCCAGCAACCAATCTGCCATTTTATTGTATTCAAAGCAATAAACAACATTTTCGGATTTGGTTTCTACAGTTATGAACAGAAATTATGGCAGATGTATGCCATGCAATTCGACTAGTTAGGGTAGCACATTTGAGAGCTTGATCTAATTTCTATCTTTAGGACCATCAGACCATCCTGAGAGCCTGGGCCGTGAAAGATTTCGCTCCCAACTGTCCTTTGTACGTCCAGATTCTGAAGCCTGAGAACAAATTTCATGTCAAGTTTGCAGGTAAGTTCAATTAGTCATTGAGGCTGAAGTTCTTAAGTGATATGTATGGTCATATAACCAAGACGGACATTTTATCTTGTGGAAAAGATCAGTTGGAGGAATCTATAATGCATCATTTCATGAACAAAAAAATTAAGGTCAGTCCACCAAAATATCTGCAGGCACTCCTGCTGTTACCAATATTAGGCGATCCCGCCATCCTTGATAGATTAGGAAGAGCTAAAAAAACACAAAAGTGGGCAGAACCACCCAAAACTCCCAGGTGGGCTGAAAGAGAATGATAAATTATGGCAGAGAGATATATATCTGCAGCATATGTAGCTAGAGAAAGATTCAGATCACCATGCTAACTTTTGGATGGCCTGACCCTTTCATTTTAGTTTGCACTACAAGAAAAACGTTCGGTTGTGAAAATTGGGCATTTGAAACTGATTAAGGTGAAAGCCTAGTGTAATTCTACGATATAGATAGATAGATAGATAGATAGATAGATAGATAGATAGATAGATAGATAGATAGATAGATAGATAGATAGATGGACACAGACATTAGTTATTTTAGTGCAGCTGATAATTTTGTTCCTTACTTCCAGATCATGTGGTATGTGAGGAGGAGTTTAAATACGCCATGTTGGCACTGAACTGTGTGTGTCCTGCCACCTCAACTCTCATCACACTACTTGTTCACACCTCCAGGGGGCAGTAAGTTTGCTTTTATTTATTACTTAATATTGCTCTGACAAATTCCACACTCGCTACAGAGTAAAAGGAATAATTCATATCCTTCCCTGTACGGTATGTTAATTCGCAGTACTAAAATCTTGGTGCTGTTTTTGGTGTAGAGCTCTTGATGCCCCAAAATTTGTAAATCCAGCAGCTAAGCTGACCTAAGTGTTCCTTTATTTAAAAGTGTCTCTTACACTAAAGTACCCCTAATACTTTACTGTCCTCCTGCCTGAATGCTTAATGCTTTACCCAAACCCTAAATTCATTACTTGACTTTTAACCCTCCTTCCCCAACACTTCACCTTTACCTTATGCTATAACAATTAAATTGACCCTTACATTTAAACCTCACCCTAACACTTAACCAACCCTCCCAACCTCATTCAATAAAACCTACCTTTAACCCTAAAATGTAAAGAAGATCCCAACATAACCCATAAAGTAAGACCTAACAATAATGCAAACCATTGTTCTGTATATTCTCCTCATCCTGCACTCGGTGCAGCCACACCAAATCTTTGTTGAAGGAATTTTATTAACAATCCAACAAGGAAACACAATGCAAAGATAAAGAGAAGTGTGTACATGTACAGCTCAGCCATATTTCTGTCCCCTCTTTCTTATAGCCTTTGGCTTGCAGACATTTTCAGCTTAGAATTTTAGCTGCCTGTAAACGCCCAACTGATAAAATTCAAAAGCATGAAAAATGCTATGGACTATCCATATTGTGATCGCATAATTCTTTTAATGCCAGCATAAAAAGGAGAGCCCTTTTCTGATCACTGTATGGAGTATAGAAACCTTCAATTAAAATAGCTATTGTCTGTGAATGTGTACAGGTACACTTTAATAGTGTTTTCTGGCACCTATGTGTAGAAAACTGTCACAGTCTGGCTATTAACAGTTGAGACCTCCTTGATCAATATTACATACAATGATTACTAAATATTACATTTGCAGATATTAAATTCCAGCATCTCCGCACAACTCATATGATCTCTTCCAGTCTAGCAGCCCACCGCAACTGACCTAGAATTCTGCGTCTCAGCTTAGTGTATCCCGAATATTTTAACCTAGATTGAGTTCACACTTCTGCTACAGCGCCCATGAATACTTAATCATATGTGAGCACTCCTGTATGTGATGGGATTTTAAGGAACGAGAGGTTGTTCAGCAGCTGTCTTGCATTTCTTGGAAAGTTTAAAAATCGCTATCGGTATTTAGCTGCAGCAATTTCACTCTTGTCTTGTCGTTGTCAATTGTATGCAGTAGCGGTTTAAAGGAAACCTAACCTCAGAAAAACAAAGAGGCAGCCACTGCCAGCCTGCTTCTGAGTTGCAGATCTCTGGCTTGGATGTTTCCTATCTCTGACCGCAAACAGGTATACGGATCAGAAGTTCTGTCTTCATTCTGATCTCACTTCCTGCATGCTTGTTCCAGGTCAATGATGGAGGCCAGAGACAGCCAGGCAATTAGTGTTTTCAGAAGCTCCTTTGAATAGAGAGATCAGCAAATGGTAGCATGTACCATGTCCATGTACATATCAATGCTATTAACATATATTAGGTGTTCTGTGAAATAGGGCTTGAAAACATGAGGATACCTTTGCGTTTTATTTACTTTGTCCATGTGGTTTTCTACTGTGATCACCAGAATTAATACAAATATAACAATGCAAGTTGGACCCGTCCGGGCTGCCCCATGTTTTTATCATAATTTGTCAGAACACACGCAGCTCTCGTTTAATTCCATACAAGTTTTGGGACAAAAGGTAACATATTTAGGTGTAAATATGTTATCACATCAAGCAAACATAACAGTAGCTAGCAAAACATAAGCAAACAAGAACTCCTCTCAAGAAAAAAAATGAACTTTTTATTTTTGTTTAATGTTATATAAATTTAGGTGATTTGCCCAATTTTAGTAGAAAACCCCCCATAAGTAACTTATAGAAAAATTTGTTCTGGATGAATGTCCTCTTCTTTCTGTAGGGAAGGGCAGCAGTCCCCAGAGCAGTGGCAAAGGATGTACGGGAGATGTTCTGGTAACGAGGTCTACCACATACGTATGGGAGACAGCAAGTTCTTTATGGAGTATGCAGGAAAAAGCTTCACCTACGCTGCTTTCCATGCCCACAAGAAGTAAGAGACACTGACGGTTTATGCCTTACTGTTTAACCATTTTATGACAAGAGGTCAGTGATGCCTAGATGCCCAGGCAAAATTCAGAAGTGTCAGTATATATCAGGTAAAGCAACAGTAACTGACTAATATACCTATCAAAATATTATTAAAAATATTATATTGAACACTTTTTTCACTTTCTTCATTAATTAATTTAATGAAGAAAGTTAAAAAGTAGTGCGAGAGGTACAGTGACAGCTGTAATTGGCAGTTTTTGTTTGTAAACAAACCTCATGTGATCACGATGAAAGGCTAATATGATGATCACTTGATTGCGAACCACACTAATTGGTTTTGGATCAATCATCAATCAACATTCTTTTAGCATTGGTCAGCATGCCTGAGACCTTTACTGTACAGATTGCAGTTGTGAAGGGATTAAAATTAGAAGAACGCACCACACCAGGAATAACTTTCACTAAAAATAAACAGTGGACAAAAATACATCTACTGAACAATCTTTCCAAAGATAACATAGTTCTATCTTACCTTGAGAAAAAGGTCTTCTTTTCTAAAATGTTGGTTGTAAAGTTTTGTTTGTACCCTATGTTCTTTTGAGTAAACGTATATAAGAATTGACTTCCTGTTGGGCTTCCCCTTCTCTCCACATCAGCCTTTGAGGTATCTGTGTGAGGTGAACTTTTTATTATACCAAAACCCTTTATCACATCAATGGATAAAAGGGTGTTTTAGGTATTTACCTGTATTTACTTTTTAGTTATTTGGGGTCGCTTTGTTGTGTTCCAAAGGTGTGTATTGTCTTTGTCTGAAGAGTGGGGACAATAATAATAATATAGTAATTTTGCACTGTAGGTATGGCGTTTGCCTGATAGGAGTGAGGAGAGAGGACAATAAAAGTATTCTACTGAACCCTGGGCCCCGGCATATCATGGCCAGCTCTGACACTTGCTTCTACATAAACATCACCAAAGAGGAGAACTCGGCCTTCATCTTCAAACAGGAAGAGAAGCAAAAGAAGAAAGGGAGAGGAATCTATGGTGAACCATCTCGACTTCCTGTTCACAGCATCATTGCCAGCATGGGTAATTACTTGCTTTCCTATAAAGCTTATTATACTTCTTAAATCACTTTCTGCCCATGTTCAGTCTTCACATTCTCTCCTTGCGGGTGCTCACAGTTTTTAATAGTTTATTATCCATCAGGTTATGATAAGGAGACCAAAAGGAACCAGAAACATGAAAATATAGCGCTGTACTGAACAACCTAATTTGTCTTTCATTTAGCAGATATGCAGTTCATTACTTAATTCCTTGTGGTTGGCTGTTCACCTGGGCTCCCCGTTTAACAGCCCAGATTAAAGCCAACATGTAAACAGCTTCTTGCTGACTATAATCAGTGCAAAATATGGGTTCTTTAAAATAAGATTTAGGGGGTATCAACACAGGACAAGGCATACCCAGGCCTACCATAGAATTGATATAGTTCACACAGCAATCTGCAAGTAGGAGCTAATAGCTTTATATATTAGGTGTGGCCCTAAATTGGCCAGTGTGCATATATGAATGCGTGTCCCTGCCCACGTTCTGAAAAAAAGGACTAATTTCCTTAATTATTTGCACTTGTGTTGGAAGTAATGTAGTATGACTATAGTACACTGTATTTTCAAGCGGTTTATAAAAAGCGTGAAAATCATGGCTATTAGGGAATGTTAGAAGTGCCAGAGAGCTGTGTACATTTCCGGAGTAAATGGATGAAGAGGAAACTCATGTTATATTGTATTATGAGAACATTGTGAACAGCAGGACACAAATAGCGCAGAAACAGCTGTCACAGCTGGGGATAATGGATTCATATAACCTGGTAAAACTTGGAGAAGTGCTGCAATCACATGGCACTGCCAGGAAGCGAGCCCAGGAAATTACCTTGATATAAAACATTCCATCTGTTCTTCTCTGTAACCTTTTCACTGCCATCTGTCACATTCGGCACAAACCGGCTTTTCCAGTGAGGAGAACAATAGCCAAAAAGGTTAAAATATGTCTAGCAAGGAAAGTTGCAGAAAAGACAGGTTCCCTTTTTTTTTTTTTTTTACTTGTAGTATATTTGCCTTCCATTTTTCACCCCTTCACTTACCGTAAATACAGAATTACCAGCCTATTTTTTCATGATTCCTCCCTGTCCACTTTTTCATATGTTATGAGCTGAGATCAGGGATCTGTATCCATATAAGCCCCTAACTGTACATCTCTGAAAAATGTCTGCTGGAGTCACTCTGACCTGATTGTAACTGCCAGTTATGCACAGTGTAGGTTGCAGCAGCCTACAGAGTGGAGCAGTGCACAAGGGGAACTTTTTTTTTTTTTACTTATATGGCAATCAAAATTGGGCATCTAATCATACCTATCCTTTACAAATATGGAAGGTAACTTATATCAGATTGAAGTGTATAGGCAAAAGTAATGCAACACTTATTTTTTGGTTTGACTTTTATGCACAGAAGTGAAGTTGCCCTTTAAAATAACTACATAATGAGACGAAAGAGGCTAGAATTAGACATCCTTCTGTGTACTTTGTTAAATTTACTGAGCTTATGATATGTGGGACGTTTTCCATCTCTGAAAGGATTGCAGTATTAAGAGGAATGGCAGTTTCCTATTTACTAAATCTTCTTCGTGGCTGTAACACGATTCTTTACATAATTTCCTGTTGCTACAAATTGGAATTGATGATTAATTGTCATTAGCGATTAGCTAATCCCCCTAAATTTGCTCTACTGGTAGTTCGGTTAATTTGAACCCAATGCACTTGCAAATCAGATTATTCATCACAGATTGTATGCATTAGAAGAACAGAAGAAGGCGTCCAGTCAGGAGAGGACTAGGCTGGGGGCCAGGGGGATTTGCCACATGGGCCAGCACTAATGAGGTATATTGGCTGGTAGCACTGAGTAGAGACACATCCACCATTGAGATAGCACAGGACATGCAGTCAGTGACATATTCTACGCATTGCATAGCTATTTGCTTCCTGACAGAGGGAAGCATTCCAGCACCAACTTCCTTTATAGGTCTGAGATATGAAGTGACTAAATGCTGATGCTGCAAGATGTACAAAAGAGTGTTTCTCAATAAATCATCTCCTTTAGACACACTTTCACTATGCCCACCAAACAGTGTGTCACCATGGCATATTTTGCGGCATACTCTTTTCTTAGCACACAGCAATCTGTTATAATGTAATGGGGGCAAAGGTAATGTGCAGTGACCACCTCATTATCATCTTTTCAACAATCCTGGCCCATCTGAGTAGGGGTAATCTTTGACACTCAATTCTGTATATTTAGTACCTAAGCATCTAATATTCAGGCTCGCTGTCACGTGGAGGGTGAGGGAGCTTGCTTGGTCTTGTATATGAATTATGGAGGGGCTGAAGTAGCGCATCGGGGAAATGAGAGGGAAGGTCAGTGTCACTTCTAATTTCTTTTCTGTACAGAATCACATTGAGATATAGTTCAATACAAAATAATGCATTCAGGAAAGGAAAATATTTAGTTGCAGTGAATAAACACTGCGGGTCTGTTCAGTATAAGCAGCTATGTATTAATACATATAGCCTAAAGTTTTATTCTCCTTCTTTAATACAGAAACCTATTCGGGTCCTTGTCTGGGGCCCGTGAGGAATCTTCTGATGCTTTGAAGTCATGTAAATTGTAATAATCTAGTTGTAGCCGAAGGCATTTTGTATGTTTAAAAGATTCCCCGGGAAATAAGGAACATTTAATTATATATTCTCTATAGTCTGCAGGCAATGTATTAACCCTGCTCCAGTTATACTTGTACTGCGCTGCAGTGTAAGATAACGAAGAACTGACATCTTGGCATTCTATAACTTCTATAATTCATGGCAGCGAGGCTTGTTTGTAAAACTGGGGCACAGTAAAAATAGTGGTGCTGCCCCTTCCAAGCATGTACCTTCCTTCCTCAATTAAGTGTAACTCCACCTCCGACTAAGTTTTTGGCTTTCAAAAGCAGTATTCACTAAAGTCATTGTTTTCCTTAGTTTGTCAATATACAGGCTTCACAGCCATTCATGTGTGTGGCTTCCATATATATTTTCCCGTGCATACACCTGAAATCCCTGCTTTTATTATGGTTTTGAGATGCACATTTTAAGTTTGGTTCGCTTTGTTACCTAGAAAATCTGAGTTTTTTGGAGTGTGTTATAGGACATATTACGGATAATTTGTAAAGGATTAAAGGTTTTTCTTTTGGAAAAATTAATGTTCACTTTGCAGTTTGCAATGTGAATGTTGGTGAATACGTTGAAGCTCTTGGCACTTTGAAAACCCAGTCTTGTGCTATAAAAAGCATGAGAATAACGATTGGCCCAGAAGTCGGCTCCATGCTCTCTCATCACAAGTGACGAGAGACCATGGAGCCGTTTCCCGCCCAATCAGGAAACCGGGCAGCGTGTAATGCCCAGCATCCTGATACAGGAGGTACTTGTGCTCGGCATCGGAGCATTTGGGCGAGTACGAGTACTCGCCCAAATACTCGGTATCGGCACCGATATCGATACTAATATCGGTATAGGTGCATCCCTAATATATATATATATATAG